AGTTGAAACATGATGAAAAGCTGGCATTCTGGATAAACATACACAATTCATTAGTGATGCATGTAAGTGTTCTCATCAATGAAAAGAATCTGCTGTTATGGTATTGGCTCCAATTTTAATGCAATAGATTGTATTCAATCTTTCTTTTCCTCTATAATAGGCATTTTTGGCTTATGGTATTCCGCAAAATAATGTGAAGAGACTCTTTCTACTGTTGAGGGTAAGAATAACCTGTCTCGTTTTTGCCCCTCTTGAATGATGAAACTAGATTGGTATGTGTCATCTTATATTCTTGTACTATTCAGGCTGCATATAACATTGGGGGTCACACCATCAGTGCAGATACAATACAGAGTTCCATCCTGGGTTGTCGCATGTCTCGTCCTGGACAGGTAGATCTCAAACCTCATCCCATAAAAGATGTTGTAGAGACCAGGCTTCAGTCCAAAATCCTATTCTTCAAGAGAAACTTGTCTATGGTATCCATGAACGAAAAAGAAAGATAAGGCAGAAATCTACCTTATTATTTCCGCTTTGCCTTTTCTTCGTCAAAGAAAAAGAAAGAGAAGGCAGAAAAAGCTTAGGGAATTTGTCATTTATTTCACATGAAGTGCAAGGAAGCATTTATTTTTAGTTCTAATATGCCCAGTGAGCTTGATTTAACTCATGTTTGAAGTTGGTGTTGATAATGCTTTCTCCTGCTTGTAGTGGCTTCGGTTATTGCTTTCTTCAAAGGCTAAATTTAAAACTGGAGATAAAAGGCAGGCATATGCAATTGAACGACCTGAACCTCTCTTACACTTTGCACTCTGTTCAGGAAACCATTCTGATCCTGCGGTACTATATCCTCTTTGATCTCTATTTTTTTTTTCCTTGCTACTGGCACTAATGACACAATGTTCTATTGTGATTCCAATTTGCCTTGATAAAGTTTTCCAATTTGGAAACTATAACCTTCTTATTATATTTTTTTTCTTTTCTTTAGGTCCGTGCCTACACACCAAAGAGGGTATTTCAAGAGCTGGAAACTGCGAAAGACGAGTATATGCAGGCTACCTTTTGGTGTCCGCAAAGACCAGAAAATTCTGTTACCAAAGATCGTAGAGTCCTTTGCCAAGGATTCAAGTTTGTGTCCAGCTGGTATCATCAAAATGATCGAACAATCTTTACCTGAATCACTTCGTCAGAGTATTAGAAAATGTCAGCTAGGAAACTCCCGCAAGAGCATTGAATGGATTCCTCACAATTTTACCTTTAGGTATCTAATATCTAAAGAATTAATAAGATGATTGCCCTTATGCATCAATGCATGGTGCTTTGTCATGATACATTTTGCAAGTATTTTCATTTCGAAAGATTTTCATATTTTTCCTTGCACAAAGTAGAAATGATAAAGGAAATGTTAGGATATAACAATGGGGCATCTTTTGCAATGTAATTGTTATCCTGAAGTGTCATGCAATTGGGAGAGAACCAATAGTAGTGCTTGCATGTTAGACTTAACAATCAAATCATGCTGCTAAATGAGACAGACGAACGAACTGCTAATTACGAAGAATACACTCTAGTCTTGTCCAAAACAATATGAAGGATCTGTCAAATGGTAAGCTTCTGAATCATCAGAACCAAGTATTTGTTCAAACTGGTCTCTCAAGTACTTATAGCCACCTGCATCTAAACCTTTATGCAGCAAAATCCCGGCCCGGCTACAGCCGAGACCATATGCATCATTTCCAGCCACCATTTCTCCTCCTTCCACACTTCCAGCCTTCAGTCAAACCCTACCTTCTGTCCATTGCAATAAGTCACCTACTTTTATGTAATGTCTGAATCGGGACAGAGTCAAGGATTAGGGATTTAAATTACAATCGCGGACACGTTTTCAGTCATGTTATGTTTATCATGGTTGCGGATATAATGAATATTATTGCGGTTATTACAGTTATCGCGGTTGTGATTTTTTTTCAAATTTGCACAATTTTTTATAAAACATAGTAATTGTAATTATACTCATAAAAAAAAATTTTCATAATTTTTAAAGTAATTAATGACACCTTATCTTATTTTATTTATATAAAAAAATTATTTATAATTTTTTAATATTATAGTAAAATATTCACATTTAGAAATTTAACAACATACAAATATTAAAACAATAAAATCATTAATAAAATCCAAATAAAAATAGAAATAAAAAATCAAATTAACATATTAATCATTTATATTTTATTTTTTTCATCTAAATTATAATATAATATACCTTTCAAATTTACATTAAACTTTTTCATCTCAAATTTCTCAATCAAATTTAATTCTCAAAATTTTTCAATTTTAACCAGTTATTTCTTCCAAAAATTTTGTTCCTAAATTTATAAAAAAAAAAAAAAAAAAAACTTAATTTTTGTTTGATCAAGCATTGACCAAACTTAATGCCTACCAAACTCCCCACTACACTCAAATATTTCTTTCAATTAAAAGTGTAAAATTATTCAAATCTTTCCACTTAAACTTTTTCATTTTTTTCTTAACCCCTACTTTCTACCATTCCCGCAAATCATCCACCAGCTATGGCAGCCAACCACGCTCTAAGCTTCCACACTCATCTAACTTTTCACCCAATCAATGTCATGACTCATCTGATTTTTTCTTCGATTCAACTAACATAGTCCCGAATCCATGCCCACAGAGTGCTCATAGATGAGTTTTTGAGATTTTAAAGTTTCAAGTAAAACTTCGGTCTAAGTTTTTTTAAATTCTATATAACACAAATTTGCAAACACTTAAATAAAAAAGAAAGGGTAAGTTTAAGTGTTTTATTATTACTTGATTTCAATAAAATTTTTTTTGATTTTTGATTGAGTCTATTTTTTACTGAGTCATTATAAATCTAGGATTTCTTTTTTATGTTTGGGGCTTTACTTTGTTAATTTCATTGAAATTTTGAAATTTTAATGCTTGATGATGAAAAAAATTCATCACATAATGTTTCTATCAATATCCAATTTCCTCCAGAAAAAAATGGTCTCCACCCATCTCATAAGGATTATCCTGATCCCAATAGGTAGCTGACAAGTTAGAAAGACATCACACATTTGCATATTCCAAATTAGCAAGATGTTATTCCAGAAGTTGCCTCTCCTTTGTACTTTAGCCAAGGCATACAACTGCCAGAGCTTATCTAAAACTGATCCCAAAGAAATATGGTTTGCAAATCTACCTATGTTTTTCTCATTTCCATGACTTTGCCAAGCAACTTGTTAAAGATCATTTCAATCTTGGAATCGATTTCCTTATTAACAGGTGCCCCATCAAGTTTATATAAAAGCTATTATCTCGGACCTTATGAAGTGAAATAGAAAGTTGTCTAGTCAAAACTCCAAGAGGATTGGCATGGATACCAGTGATTACGCTGCCACCAAGATCCACAGCAGCAAATTTATCCTTCTTACCAATCTATTGAGTATAAACTCCTTCCCTAGGTCGATTCCTCCCTTCTTCTTTAAAGAAATGGAAATAGCATCAATTGCAGCCCACTATTAGCCGCTATGATTATTTTTACGGCCGCAATGAACCGCTAAAAACGTGAATTTTCTACACACCTAATATCGATTGAATAACGATAGCGGTGGGTGCCAATTCTGCTAAATAGCTGCCACGATACCACTATTGCGCCGCTATTTGAATCCATATCCAGGACCATGTGAAGAATATTGCAGTCATTGAACTGGTGAATCCTGCTGTGCCGAGGGGAAGTTCAACGAGGAGCAAGGGAAGTTTTTGTGTTTTCTTGCAGGCAAAGCTTTTCTTTGCTACCATTTATGGGATAGATGACGGTGCCAGTGACTAGTGTTACAGCACTAGATTGACTGAATATTGAAGTGTTTGTTAAAAACATGGCAGATAATTAGATATCTCGGCATTTATCTTTCTTGTTTCATTGATCCCAAATGCATGTTTTTTAAGGTTCTTGAGCAGTCGGGTTTCCTGCACGTTATAGTTCCATTTCGGTTTGTATTCTAATTGGATTGAATCTAGCAATCCAAATAAGGAAGAATATTATGGATTATCCATCTCTCTCAATTATCTATTATTTTTTTCTAAGTAATTTCTGAAACCTACATTTTGCTATGCTTTAAGTATTGCTTTAATGACAGAGACACCTTAAATATAAAAATAAAATCCTAAACACAGACTTCCCTTTCTAACTTGGTATGATATCTTAAATTAGATCTACAAACACGGACATGAGCTCTTGTGTATCCATGTTTGTGTACAATATTTTAATATTTTTGACAAATAAAAATATGTATGGAACTTGATCAAATACCAAAAAAAAAAAAAAAAACAATTCTTATGGTGTAATGACATTTTATATTTTTTATTACTGTATCTACCATCAATTTTTTCGTACGGATAATTGCCTTCTAAAGATTAATCTAGTATTATCATATATTTTTTTTGAAATTATAATATAATAAAATATTACATCTATATAATCAGCTAAATGATCAATAATTACGTTGTAATCAAGTTATTATCATTAAATAATTAACATAATTAAATAATCAAATTCACACACAGTATGAATTAATTCTAGAACCTTAAGGAATATCCTTGTTATCACTAAAATAAAACTTAATTGACATCTATCATATTTTCTGAATTTATGGTTATAATATATAAAAAAATATTTTTTATTACCTTATCTTACCGTTTTCCAATCTTTATTTTTTTTAAATGGTCGTAAGTGAGAACTCAACAAAATTTCATAATAAAAACGTAAAATGTAAATTAGACAATGCTTAGTATAAGATTGGGCTAGTTTGCACAGGCCTACCCCCACCTTTTCTGGTTAGTTTCATGATTAACCAAGCTTAACAAAGTCGTCACTCAGTCCCAAAATTGTAAAAGAAGGAAAAATATGTACAAGAGAGAACCTTTTCACAACAATTTTTGTTTTTATTTAGGATCCAAATTATTGCTATTGGATGATGTAATATTGTTGTAAGTCCAGAACAAGAGACTAAATCAAGCTTGGCCCTCTCAAAGCTTTCAAGAATCAAGACATTGCCCAGTAACTCTCAGATCAGATCCTACAACCAGTATATATATATAGCTAATTTTCTAGTATGGCCTCTCTCCTTCATAATTTCCAGGAGGATTATAGAAACAAATAGTAAAAGTCATTCGGTCCTTGCATGTGGCTTGTGCGCACCCCAGCTCCGAAGAGTTCTTCCAAACCACTTGCGTGTAAAGTCCACACTTGTAATTTGGTGCACAAGAATTGCTGGCATAATCATAGTAACTCTTCTCTTTCACCCATGAAGCCACTACCATGCGCGGTGTCCGGGCTGCTCCACCCCAGAACTGGTTGGCTCCATACTTGTCACCTGTCAGGTTTGCAATCTGACACCCCATTTTGTTCCTTTGGTATCTCGCAAGGCGGCTTGTGGCATTGGCTAGTTGCTCACTCCACTTGAGAGTTCCAACCCTAACTTCAGCTCTTGCTTGGTTGTGTGCGTCCAGGAATTCCCTGGCTGCAGTACCAGGCATCACTGCTGGAGCCGTGATGCCATGGCTCGTTGCTGATGCTACCCCTTGGGCTGTGCTATGGCAAATAGCTAGAACTAGAACTGCAACGAAGGCGTTGGCCATTCTCTGTTGTCTATAATTTTGCAGTGGTGTTTACCAGTTCTGTTGATAGAAATAATTTATATAGGCATCCAAGGATGGTGACCGTTCCATTGGAAAAATTATTGCATCGCACTTCAACGAATTAAGACCTCTTATGTTGTGTTATAATTTATGCTAAATATGATTCTTTTTTTTTGTCTGGGGGTCACATTATTGTTTGTCCATTTTTTATTTTAGGAACTGAATTGATATTCAAAGGAAGATTGAAAAAGAGATCAAGCCAATCTGTAGGCAGAGAGCCAGAGACGTGTGGTATGGAATGGAAATGGAACAATGCGCTCGGTGAGAAATACCTAAGGTCGGGTAATGCTACTGAAACGGGGTGGAATTTATGGGGTTCAGTGCATTTTACTATTTTTTAATTAAAATTTTTAAGATCTGGTATAACCCTTGATAATCAGAGACTCCATATGTTCCATGGAGCATTGCACATGACCTTGTTTGTTTGACTTAGGTATGTAAGTTATGGTCTGCCCATGTGATGTGCATTTAATCATTCATAACTTCGGATGTAGCCACTTACCAGAACCAAAGGGCTAAAGCAAGGGTTGAATCAGTTGAGCCCGTCTCCTAAATGGCCCAATGGCTAAGTCTGCCATGGTCTTCGATGGGCTAGATACCTCAGCTCAAGACCACTAAGACAGGCTTGTTGTCATAAGGATTGCTTGAAAAATCTTTCATACTCTAATCCTTTCTGATGGAGTTAAACTGTACTCGACTTGATAACTTCAAATTTGGCTAGTGCCATGTAGAAAATACAGCTCAATTTTTCAGCTCAATTGGTCCATTCCAGCGTTTCTTTGCATAATCATTTTCGGTTTCTTTAATCAAGTTCTGGAGTTTGACGAAATTGCTAGGCATCGTAATCTCTGATCTCTATGTTAAACAATATTAACCTGTCCCCACAATCTAGCTGTAATAATAAAATCCTTTTTGAAGAATTCACAGGTTTCTGCTAACTGTGCTGCATTAATTGGACTCGGCCTGAAAACTATGTCGGTATGGCGCTACCAATCCTCCAGAGTCCAGGCTTTTGCTTGGCAGAATGGCCAACTGCTGATTTCTGTCTAGTCAAGCCATTTAATTGCCGCTATCTTTCCGTTTAACATTTACAAGTTTATAATATTAACGACAATTCTCTATCCCAATCAAACTGTATAAATAACGACACTTCAACTAATGCCAATTCTTAAGCATGGTTGCTTGATTTGCCTCTCAATTGTTTTTCTATTCAAAAGTATGTTACATGCACGATTATTCATAACAATTTTTTTCACGTACTGATTTTAAATTACATAATAACAAGACTATTTTTATGTTGAAATTTCAATTAGAGTATTTCTGCAAAAACATTATCCATAAAAATTTTCATGATATGACTTTGTAACTCTTTTCTTTCTTAGATGGATTATTTCATTTGTTTATTAAAACATTTGATGAATAATTAGCTCATCTAGGTCAGTTTTAAATCCCCATCTCCCATGTAACTTGATGCTCAAACAACAAAATGGTGAATGAAAACGATTATCCGTTGCCCCACCATCCAATATGTTCATATTTTGTTTGACAAAAATTAGAAAAAGAAATTATAGAAGGCAAAAGGTGGTCCATTTATTTGTCTAAGAATATAATAAATTTTGACAACCATGGTCACTAGTTTTTGAGCTTGGATGAGTCCATGATCCAATGGCAATCTAATTAAATTGCGTCCTTTTCCAGAAACAATTGCTTCAAATGATTGTACTAATCTTCTCCAATATGCCGCCTTCTGTTTGTCTTCATCCTTCTTCTCACTTTCATGCTCGTTTAAAGCCCACCTTTCTGTCATATTATTATCACCCAATTTTGTTGTCTCTTCACGAAATTCAGGGTTTGGATGTGTGAGAACGGAACACATCGACAGTGCACCATTTTAGTAGCTTACAAATGGATGGGGCAGCCTTTGCAAAGTTGCCATTCACTGTTCTAATTATTAAGTTGGATTTAACCTAAGCAGATTACCGACCTGTTGCCCATAAAAACATATGAACTTGAGCATTTGATCTTGATTTAAGCTATGCTTGATTGAGTTAATGAATAATTGAATTTTGAGTCAACCAAATTCTTGATTCCACTATATTGAATTTTTAAGCTAATCCAAACTTCTGAGGTTTAAGAAAACTTGGGTTTGTTTGTTTGAGCATATCAACATTATCAACACCACCATCCAATATACAGGAGCGAAGCCAGCATCGAAGGTCAAGTGTCACGGGTTGAGATTTAAGCTTCTAATTCATGAGGCTCCGGGACAACCCTTTTAACATCTCAGATCAGTTTCCTGTCACGGTTCATATTCTTGTGAGGTATTATCTGCTCTGGCCTTCTGACCTCACAGTTTTATCCTACAAAAGGCGCTTCGTGACGCTCTCGTCACGGAGGTTGGTCACCCTGCCTACTTCCCTCGAGGTGCTTGGCGTGGATTGAACGGTTTAGGGCTGACTCTAATACCACTTGTCACGGGTCAAGACTTAAGCTTTGAACCCGTGCGGCTCCGAGATCTGGGCATTCACCTTTTCCGGCATCTCAGATCAACCTTCCTGTAACGGTTCACACCCTTGTAAGGTATTATCCGCTCTGGTCCCCTGATATCACGGTTTTGTCCTACAAAAGGTGTCTCACAAGACGAAAGTGATATGAACCCTTATATACCTCAGTAACCCTCTTATTATGTTTAATGTGAGATTCAAGATTCTTCTTTAAATTTATGACACAAGCACTAAATCAATACTAAATTAAATTAGAAGAGGGACCAAAAACGAAAATAACCATGCTAAAACAGTATCAAAACAGTAATTTTAAGGCTATCAAAATTTTGAGGGGCCTTGACCCACGCTTGCCATTCGCCTCTGCGAATATACTTTTGATATTAAGTAGTTACAGATTGAAATAAACAATTGGCATACATCGAAAAGGAGGCTCTCATAAATATGTAGCAGGGAAAGTTGATTGTATGCACTTGAAATAATGATGGGATTTCTTTTGCGCTGTATAGGAGGAGCTTTTTGATGGATGCAAGAAAACTCAAGTCCATCAAAGGTGAAGAATCATGCTTTTGAAGATCCACATTATGGCTAATACTTTATATCATTGTATGTAGTCATGAACCAACATTCTAGTTGAACATTAAACTATATCATCAGGATTCAGGTGGGGACCTATCTACGATTTCATAGGTTAATAAAGTCCCTAGAGAACTGCCATAAACCAAAAGGATAAAGCGAAAATGCTCCTAATAGAAAAAAAAGAGTTTGGAGATAAAGCAACATTAGTAGTTAATCATTCTTGCATCTTCAAAACTTTATCTAACACTGAGCTTCATCACATGTTTGAACTTTATCTCATAACTTACTAGACAGTAGCCATCATTCTTTAGCCTTTAATTTGCATAATCCAGGGCTCGATTTGGTTAAAGTTGTAGTCATGACTCAAGGGAATACTATTCTTAATAGAGAAGGATTAATGTTGCCAGTATTGGCATATTTTGATATCTGTTGAATAATGAGAAAAGGAGAATTGAAGCATATTGATTAATGTGATCATTAATTCAGTAATCATTCTTTGAATAATTTCTCAAATCTAAAGTTGCAACCTATTAGCCAACAAATTGGTTAAGACATTAAGGTTTGAATATTTCATTTTTAAGATTTAAATTTGAATCTTACCATCATTAATCTCCTTTATAAATCTAATATAAATCTTTTTGAAATTTATTATATATTTGTTTTAATCTTAAAATGAAAAAACCTCCTCTCACCCTAAATTAAAAAAAGAAAAGAAAAGGTTGTAAATCTATCGGGGAATGCTTTATTAAGCCTGCATGAAAGAAACCATGAAATACATTAAAAGGTTGTAACTCAAATTTAACCAATTCATGAAAAATGAAGAGAGGGCCGAAAGACAAGTTGGAATCTAAGAAACAGCTGGATCCAACTCCAATACGGGCTCTGCAATCAAGGTCGTTGAAGCGATGAAAATAATAGCACTAGCTATAGCACAGAAGGAAAAAATACTGGTGGGGGCCAACGCCTGAAGTTAAATATGGAGATTGGAGTTGATCTGCTAGTCAGTCCAATAAAAGCTGCAATCCAAAATTGAAAAGGCTCTGGCATTAAACTCTTTTACTTGAACTTTTTGCAATGAACTTTAGTTGTTCTCACTGAAAAAAGCACATAAAGGTAACAACAAAAACAGTGGTTAATAGCAAAAGTGTGTGGAGAACAGCAGAGGAGTTCAGCTGCTAACAAAGTTCTAAACTGGCATTTAATATTGTGTCCATTTCATATCAATGACTATAAAATACGAAAGTTATCGTGTATCCTTTGATCTCAATAATGTTTGCTTTCTTCTTTCTCGTTTAAAAGCTGAAATTTCCAAAGAAATGAAACAGATTTGACAGCAACTGGATAGTATTATATGTGTATATATGAATTTCTATCTAGCCTAGTTGAAAATTTTAATATATACTATGCAATTCCACCAAATGGGACCAACTCACGAGAAGCTAAGGACCACCAACTTGTACGAAATGATGGCAGCTTTGGGTGTTTGTTGGCCATGGTCCCCCCCCCCCCCCCCCCCAATAAGAACAACCTGTTCTAATTTCAAAATCATGAACATTTTTTATCCCACCTTCTTATCATAAGCATGTTGACAAATTTCTACGCAATCACCATGATTTGCTAGGCATTGGATTCTACCGGGCTGTCTCTAATTATAGAAAGTTAGCTTGACATTCTAACCTTTGAATCCAAATGTGGGTAATCAATATTAATGAATTTTTGCAATTGGATTGGTTGCTTGAGGCTTTAAAGGCGCAGGTCAAGCCAGATTCAATCTTGGTTTAGTGTGGTTAGACCCATTGGCTCATATTCTTAAGCATTCAAGCCAATTGTTTGTAATAACTAATGATATCATCATTTTTCCTTTCCTAAATTTTAACTTGAGTGGAGATGGATTTGAATTTAGTCCCCTGGTGGCCGAGTTGTTTTGGTGAGGACAGAATTTTAAAATCATAAAATGAGAGGTCAGTTAATGGTAAAGGCCCAAATTTTTTCGGTATTTAAATTTTAACGATCAAATCAATGTTCAGAAAAAGAGTAGGAATGAGGGAAAATCAAAAAATAAATATGAAATGTTAAAATGCTTATATTAAAGGGAGTGAGATTATTTATACTTATATGATGACAGTGTAAAGCTTAGGAGACCTGAGCTCCAAGTGATACGGTTAGAACTAATGTTGTTGACCCGAGCTAATTTGATAAACCAATTGATAAGTGATAAATTAATATTTTTCATACGACATTAGATGATTATACGAAGTAACCGAACTAATATCTATTTTACCCCTTAAGCCACAAAACGCCCTATAGTAAGGTAGAAGCTTGAATCTCATTAATTCAAAGGTACCCAACTAGCCAGGTAGCTGAAGCTGCTGATGATGATGATGAGGTTACAACTGCATAGAAATTGAAAGACTATGCCCCATTCCAACCAGGATATTGGCTTCCAGCTGTAAGTTCCAAAAGTTGAAAGAGAAGTTGGAACAACGACCCCAAAGAGAAATGCTTACTATCACGTTTTACCAAAACCACTGCTATCCTTTGTTGTTAGCTTTTTTGAATGTTCTAAATTTTGAAGTAGATTTTTTTTTTGTAACATTATCAAGGGTATTCTCAATTTCATTTGAATCTGATTCATATTTTTCCATTGATTTTAAAGTACAATCATGCATACAAATATGTTATATTTTAAATTTTACTCTCAAAATATTTTTCACAATAATTAAACCCTAATTGACAAAAAAAAATTATCCTGTTATTAACTCGATTTAATCTTTTCGAGTAATTTTGAGATAAAAACTATTCAACAGTCAGTAATTTTCAATATATAGATAGAAAGAGTGAAAGCCTTTATCAAAAAGATTCATTGACACTTTACATAAAGGATTCTTACAATGAGCAAAGCCTGATCATTTATAAAATATCCATATTCGATACGTATTTTGATTAATATAAATACAAAAATTTGACATTTTAATTAAAAAGTAAATGCGTTAGTATCGTCATCTGAATACACTTTTTTTTTTCTTTGAGTTGTGATTTCTTCTTCCCTATACAAAACCAACCAATGTGACCCAAGCTATAGCCAAATGGTGATAAGTTCCCACAGATAAAATTTTGGACAATCATGTGTCATTTTCACCACCATCATCATGATGAATCCGAAGATTTCAAACTTGTGGGACAAAATCTTACCCATCCCTCTTCAATTTTCATTATCAACATCACAATAGTTTCGAAGCTTTGCGCAATGCGACAAACTCAATAGAACATTTGGCAAAGCATACCTCAGTTTGAGCACAATGAATCTCAAGTTCTCTGTTCTGTTCCAACAAATGCTTAGAGGTTAGGTGATATATAATATCATCAGTATCTTTTTTGCTTTTTCACTGTTTTCTTCCCTCATTCTCATTTTAGAAACATATTAAATTTTTTTAAAAAAATATTTGCTATACGATTTTATAATATTAAAAATCGTATTTTGTATTTGATTAAAAAAAAATTTAAACATTTTAAATAAATTATTAAAATTAATATTTAAAAATTATAAATTCGAAAGAATTTAAATGCATAATATCTTTTTCAATCAAATATGTAATAAAATAAAATATTTAAAAATACATTAAAAATTTTAAAATATATATATTAATACACAAGTAATAAGAAAATATTATGAAAATACTAAGTTTAACAAAATCAAAAATAAAATTTACAAAATAAACAAGATATTAAACATTAAAACGACTAAAATAATAAAATTTTCATAGTTATCTCTTTTCGATCTTTCTCATCAAACAAAGTATGTGTCAATTTCTTTCAATCAATAAAATCTTTGGCATAGAAAAATGAGATTTATTAAATAAGATTTACATTTTGACTCTACATGCAAAGAAAAGAAAAGAGGATGTTTTGTTTTTTTGGTTTAACCAAATTTTATTTTATTATTGTTGATAATTTCGTTTTTATTTTTAATTATTTTTAGGCAGAGAGTTTCGTACGTAACAATTCAAGGTTTAGTTTGCCAATCAACATTTAGAATTAAATAAAACAAAAGAGGAATAAGGATATGATTGAACATTGAATAATATTCATTCTTGACCCAAATAGGGGTAAAACTGTAACTCGACCTCACATGGGCAAATGGGGCATGTAAAGAAAGACTAGAATTATAAACTTTAAGCTAATCAAATCAAGCGTGACGGTCAACCTCCTTCCATTTCTGCCAATGATTTGACTAACAAGTCCTCAACATCATTACATATTTACAAATATACCAGTCCTCCCTATTCAGGAATAGCCCTCAACATAGCCTTAAACTTTCTCCTCCCTCTCCCTCCTCTCCCTCTCTTCTCACCACCGTTCCCACGAACACCGCCGACGGAGGAAACTTTCCGGCTACGAGGCTCCTCTGAAAACACACAAGGAGTAACAGTTTTACTTCTGCTCCTACATTTTTCACCCCCACTACTTTTCATTAAAGCAGAGCTAGCTTTGACAGCCAATGCAGCCATTTCTTCAGCCTGTAAAGGATGTTTAAGCCAACTCAATGGCAAAGCAAAGTAAAGTTGACCAGGTTGAAGCTCCTCGTCTTCCTGGATAGCTGATGCGACATCGCCGAAGTCCATTTCATCGGAGTTGCAGATAAAACACATGGGGTTCCTTTGTAAAACGTAAGAAACCTTGACAGGGTAGGGAAACTCTTGTAACCTTCCATCTTGGAGAATCAGCTTGGCTGTCGCTACACGAGTTGACTCGCAAGAACTACAAATACCCATTTTCAGATTCGTGGATTTTAATGTTGTTTTTAATGGAACTCAACTCAGTTGTTTTGGATTTGGGAAATGGGAGGAGTTCAGCCTGCATTTGATAGTGAAGGGTAAAGGGCAAGGGGGGATTGGGGAGCTTATATAGAGGGCAGCCACGGGAACATGGAGAGAAAGAGGGGCCTCGGATGTTGGACCAAGTTGCCACATAGGATTTTGTCGTGACGTGCTAATTAGCATTTTATTTTATTATATATCATTTATTAATTAAATGATAAATATTTATTTTAATATATTTTACCTTTTTTTATTAATGTGATTATGTTACATATTATACTATTCATTTTAAACTATAGGAAGGGGTTACCGGCCTGTAAGTTGGGGGTGATATGATAGTCCTTCATTTCAAAGTATTTGTTAGGGAAATTTTTGTTTCTAATTCTTATATGATAGTTTAGATTTTTAAATTAAATGGTTTATTTATGGGGTTTATGTACAATACCACTTGATTTTATTTTACTTTGTAGTATAGATTATCTAGTATTAAAGTATTTTTAATCAAGTCAAGTCATACTTTGAATCTTGATTTCTTCTCTTCGATGAATTCAATGTTTGATTAATTGAGTTCTTTTTAATAATTTCAGCACTCTAATTAACCTGAACAAAAAAAAAAAGTGAATTTCTTTTGTACTTTCAAGTTAAGTTTATCTTCATGTAATAATTCCTGTAAGGGATTATCTTTATGCAGCTATGCCGTTTATTGCTGATTCAAGGGGGTTGTTGAGACATGATGGAGATGAGATGATGTACATTGCTGCAACCTGACGAAGGCTTGAAGGTTTCATCACGTGGATTGTGGAAGTAGGAACAAACCCAAACGCCCCCTTAACGGAATGATACCTAATAGACTAATGCCCACCCACTTTGAATGGTGCACCTTCCCATTTATGGCTACTTATTGTGGAGCAAGGAAAAAGACCTTACTATATACCATGGTTTTATTATTATTATTACTATATTTGTTATTACAAAATTTAAAAATAAATAAATTATTTAATTTTTAAATTAAAATAAAATATATCGTATTTACTAATTTAAAATATAATTATAAATTATACATTTAATATGATCTTAATAAATCATCGTCAGTAAAATTTAAATATAAAATTTTTATATAAAAAAATGAATCTAAATTAATTAAATTAATCATTTGTTGACTATTATATACCATAATAATTCAATGAAAAATTTTCTTTTTTGTTGTTATATCTTCTTCTGGTATCTCATTTTTTTTATGATATTATAAATTTATTATTAAATTTTAATTTTAATTTAATTAATTTATATAATGACGTAACACCCAACGATCAAATTTCAATAATTCCATCTCTTTAAAAAAAACTACCATCCAAGTTTGAATTCTTAGTTGTTAACGGGGACCGAACTAACATATATATAGTAGCTTTCATAGAGTTACCCTGGAGAAATACAGAGGCCAAGGTCAGAAAAATGGGGCATTGATTTTAACAGTGTAGGGTGGTCTAGCCTGGTGGCGACTGGTGAGGCGACAGGAATGCAGTTACATTGAAAAGGAAGGGGGTATTTGGAGAAGTAAAAGAGGAGAAACATGGCGAAACAGAATTATCGCAACAGGGCTAGGGGATGCCACTGTGTAAGGCAAGATAAAAGACACCTGGAACAGAAGGGCCTCGGAAAGAGTAAACCCCAAAGAATCCGACAAGAGCTGTCATAAGCTCATCTGTGTCTGCCGATGCTGTTGTTGCTGCTGCTGCTGGCGTTTAACCAGCCCTCATAACCCTGTCATGTTCCTGATCTTTCTTTGTTAAAACCAAGCGTGGCCAATGTCAGGATTTGTTTCTCTGCCATTTGTCTCTATTAGCTCTAGGCTGTAGCGTTTACATGTGCATGAGTGATGGGGCGAAATGAGATGGTTACGTTATGTTTGGATTGAGGGAGGGAAAGGGAAGGAGAGAAAAATAAAATAAAAGAAAGTAATGAAAATAGAAAAAAAATTGTTTTGTTTAGATAAATTTTTATTTTAAAAGAAAAAAAAAGGTGAAAATTCATCAATTTTTTTTAATACTTTAATTTGGAGAAAAGCTAAATAAATGAAAGATAAAAAAATTATATTCATAATTTTATTATGATATTAAATTTAATTATGTGATTGATACTTTTTATAAAAATAATTTATTTTTACGAATATTTTATATAATATCACAGTTTATAAATATTTTATGATTTTTTAAGTCTTAATAATAAAACAAATCAAATTATTATTAGAATAAATTAAAAGACTAAATTAAATATAAAATTAAGAATAAATTAATAACTAGTTTATATACCTTATCGTATTAAATATGCTTAATTTTGTTTAAAAAGATTTGTTTATATAAATTATGTAGTATAAAGATATATTTGTATATTATATATTATTTTACAAAAAAAATATTATAATGAATTTTTTTTTCTTTTTCACTATTTATTCAAACAATGTGTTAAAAAATTTTTCTTTATTAATTTTAACTATCCAAATAAGGGATACATGACCATTTTCTTTCATTTAAAAACCTTTCAATTTATTTCGTTTTCTTTTATTTCTTTTTTTTTATTAATATCTATCCAAACATTATATTTTTGTTTACCGTCTTTCTTTTTTTTAGAATTTATTAATGCTTTTAGATAAAAATTCCATGGTTTACAAGTTAAATGACTTATTTTTGTAAAAGACTTGAGTTCTATTGGTGGCAATATGTCAACATGCTATTGAGCTTAAATTCACAACTTCGAAAGTAGTCGATCATGAAATTTATGTTATTTAAAAATTATCAATTTTGTTAAGTATCCAATTTAAAATTAAATAATAGTAAATGAAAGAATTCAATTTAAATATAAAATTATCATAAATTAGATATTTATTAAATATAAGATAATATTATTTTAATAGATTCCTATCACGTATAGAAAGAGATGAAAGAAACTTATTATGTAATAAATTTGAAAAAAATAACAAAAAAAAATCCCAACTCTAAACATCCAACTTTGAATTTCAAACTTTGAATTTAACCTTATTAAATTGTCCTTGATCTCACTCGGCCTAAAAGGGGATGAAAGCTTTCAAACTATGAATTTAACCTTATTAAAGAAAGGTATAAAAGTAATTAGATCAAATTTGACATTTCAGGTTAAGATTTTACCATATAAAAAATGATACAATGCATGGTTTCAAATATTGTCTACCAATGAAACTTTGTTTCTGAAAAAACACTTAATGTTAAAAACTTAAAAGTCTTATCTTGAAACTTTCAAGTTGAAATAATGAATTTACAGAATAAAAAATACCATTATGATATATATTCGGTCAATTTGATTAATTTTTAATTAAATTATTTTATTTTTATTAATAGAATCAAATTTATTAATTTTTGAATATCATGTATGCCAACAAAACATTTTGTTTTTCAACTCCATTGTTATCTATACTAAGGAAATTTTAGTGCCAACCATGCTCATTGAATGATATTTGTAATCCAAGTTCAGGTTAGGAAGATCTGTTGTTGCTTTTTTTTTTTTCTATTTATTAAATCAAGGAGGAATATTGCAAATTATCGAGGAATGAAACCCACGTCCCACTATCTGCAACTCTTTCTATGAAGCTTCGCGACTCCACCTACCGAAAACACTCACCCTAGCTAGTAGAAAAGAAGCCCAATCATGGAATGAAAGTCTCTCACCAAAGGACCTCACACCAATGCTTTTCATTTCTTTAATCTCATTTCCATTAAACTACATTCGTTTCCCTGTTTTATTGGATGATCTTCACGTTCCCTCTTTTGACTTTGAATATGAGATAGAAGAAATGATTATAGGCAGAGACGGATAAAATCTTGAAATTTAAGTATTTTTATTAGAAAAAGATCTCAAATATAAATAATTATTGCATTTTGCCCCCACTAAAATTTCAAAATAACAAGATTATTAGAAATAAACTTAATTTTTAATTTTTTGCTTTTTATCTCCACTAAATGTAAAAAAAAAAAATTAAGTGTGGATCTTTTATAATATTGAAATTTACATGAATGTATTAACAAAATAAAAAAATAATTGAATAAGTTAATATTCAAAATATAAATATACAATTTATCTCTATTACTTATTGGTCTTGGTAGATTGACCTTTTAATGGATTACAAAATATATTATGTCATATCGTGTTTAATCCAACTTTTTCGATAAACTTGTTAATCATATAGTATTATATAATCTATTTAATAAATATATTTGTGTATATATTTAAATCTTTAATTTGTTTATTTAGTTATTATATTTATGTTTAAGTGTATAAATGTTAATATTATTTCATAATGTGACACAATTAAGACAAGCAAATGTGATTTTTTAAATCTAATTTTTATATAAAAATATTTTTTTTAATATTTTATTACTTTTTAAAAATACTTTTATTATTTTATATTTTTAAAAATATTTGATATTGTATTTTAATTGAAGTCATTTTAAGATACAATAGTTTATAAATAAATATTAATTAATAATTTGTCCCCACTAAATATAAATCTTGAATTCATCCTTAATTATAGATATTGAGATTTGAATTTTAGATATATTGAATGTCACTTTATGCATCGGATTCTTTCTTTTTTACTTAATAAGTATATTTTTTCACTTTTAACAAATCTGATCATAATGAACATTAATCCCACTTATTTACTAGGGAAAAATTTGCATGCAACCAAACTTCATTAATCTCTGTACTATGAGTTAGGCTGACATTAAAATGGCCATTAACAATTTGGTTTGAAATCTTAAAATGATGAATTGCATTTAGATTTGAGATTAAATAGCTTGCCTAACATGGATAATTAAGTATAGGAGTTTGGACAAATCCTAATATCATTTCTACAATAAAGACAATGTCCCAAAAAAATATTCAATAATCGACAAGGATTTGGTCTGTGACATTCTGGTATACATGTTTTTGCTTAATCCATAGGATTAAGCAAAAACAGTTGGCAAAGATAAAATTAAGCTCCACCAACCGGCATAATCACATTACAGTCATAATAATGTTGTCTAAACACCCCCTAAAATCAATCTAATATAGTATCTTTGATTCAATCATGGGATCATAAAAAAGGTGACCATGCGCATTGCCATGAAAGTTCCTCCCATGACTGCAGCTTGAACTTTTTTTTTGTTCATAATGTAAGGTTGTCATGCTCATTTGTTAGGCCCTTAACGGGGCTGATCTTCCTTGGTCACAATCTCAGATCATGAGCCACAAGCAAATCAAATTATTGGAAGGGATGCATAAGTCCATGAATGGATTCAGTGTATGCCCAAGGATCATTTTTTAAAAAATTAATTATAAATGCATTTATATCTTACACCAATAAGGAACTTTTGTTTTATGTTATAGATTCATGTTTTGGTTGATATCCATTAGATTAGGAACAAAGAAAGTTGAAAAAACATCAAATTTAACCCCTCCAACCAGCATAAAAACATCTCATTCATAATTAAATGGTCTAAATCAAACACCTTAAACAATATCTTATTCGAGGAGTTAAAAAAAAAAAAAAAGAAGAAAACGTTTGAGAATCAAATCAAATCAGCCATCACATGCATCAGACATCTGCAACAAATCAAATCATTGGTATTAATTATCAAAATTATAAGCTGTTCGTGAATGGTTTCATTGAGTAACATGGAAGAAAAAAAAAAAAAGACCAATCCCAAGAGCATTTATATCATTCTTATCCCAAAAAAAAAAAAAAAAAAAAAAACTTCTCACAATCATCCAAAAAGCAATAATATAAACTCTTGCATCCAAAGAGTCTACAACTTCTCATAATCATGTCAAAACAATAATATAAACTTTGCAATGAAGAAACAATTATTCTAAATTGGATTGCCTTGAATTAGTAAGGGTTTTGGTTTCTACTGTATTTTCAATGCAATACACTTGAATTTATCGCATCATCGATTAAATTTAAATATTAATTTTAATGAAATTTATTTTTTATAAATTTTTTTAATCATAATTATAATAATTTTCATTATTATTTTCAATCAAACGAATCTCACAAAGGATCCAAATGGACCTTTATAAGTTTTCATAGTCTATGTTTTTTCTCCTCTAATTCATGTTTTATGAGCTAATTTGTAATATGGGCTCAGTCAAAACAGCCCAAAAGGATAGAGATCATTAAAAGTATAGGCCGTAACCAATTTCGTTTCTTCCTACATAAAATGGATATTTATCGACCATTTTATACTTAAAAAAAGAATAAAATAGGTTGTAGTACATAAGTATAGATTTAATATGATTTTAAATTGTCTTTGATATAGCAAAATAATTGACACAAGAATGTAATTATAAATCCATTTGAATAAACCAAGAAAATTAAAGGTCTTCAACAAAAAAATGTACACAAATTGTGTAATTTAAAAATGAAATTAACTTCATATTTTCTCATTAAATATGGGCAGTATCAAAATTAAAATAAAACCAAAGATATTAATATATTTAATATCTCTATTGCATAAGTTGATTCCTAATTTTTGTACAGAGAATTGTTTGGTAGCTCATTTTTTTTCAATCTATCATTAATATAAACAACTGTGCAGTTGTTGTTCATGTAGGGTCGGATACATGATATATCAACAAGCTTATGTAAATCATCAATTCTAATTTCCGCTTGATGTGATGATTTGTACTGAATCAATCCTCAAGCTTTCCCCTCAAATTGAACAAGTGTACAAAATCTTATATATCAAGTTTGCTTATTTGATCAACTAGAATATGCAGTGGAGGACGCTTTTGAGCATGGGGTTGTTTAAAGTTTGTTCATTGATGGAGCAATTGTCTAGGAAATAATGGAGGGTTTGGTCTTTGGTGATTTGTGGGTGAGATTGGTGGATTTTGAAGGAAGAATGGTCAAGAAAATGAAAGGAGCTAAATTGGGCATTTGGATGATAGGAAGGGACCCTTGTTTGTTGTAACTGCTGTTTGAATTTTCTTTTTGGTACAAAGCAAAAGCTGAATCATTTCTTTTCCTTTCTGTCCTTCCTTGTCATTCATCACCCATGATTTCTTTGTCCATCCTCTTTTGATAAGAAAGAGTTTTAAGATAATGATAGGCCAATGAAACATGAATTGGCAAGTAAACTTTTATTCAAAATCGTTGAAATTCAATCGGATTGTTCAAGATTTTGTTGTTTGTATATAATACTGTCAATGTACAATTCTTCATTTAAGCATCGACGAAATAATTAAGATTGGTCGTATATGAAAATGGGATGGAAGTAGAGTAACGCTACACAGAAGGAAGGAGCCAAAGATTAAAGAGAGTTGAAGCAAAGGACAGGAACCAGGACAAGAAAGCCATAGCTGCAGACAACTGATACCTACCGCATAGCTTTGATGGGCAAAATGACGAGTCAGCATTGACCAAGAGACTTGTGACACTAGCAGTTGAGCAGGCTGCGGCTAGTGAGAGAAATGACAAGGTCTGCAATCAGATAAAACACAAATTTTCCATCAAGTTGCGAAAAAAGCGCAACATCTTGGTGATGATAACAAAGCAAAAACCTTGTTACATACCCAGTCTCCCACAATGACAATCAACAGTACCCTTGGTTGTCGTGGTAAGCATTTAATAAACACAGAATATGCATCAACCAGTGCTAATGACATACTCCATGGAGTTACCAAAGCCATGACCGTCACCAGGTAGCTGCAAGAAATTGAAAGAAAAGATTAAATGAATTAATTACCAAACAATGTCATAGCAGTATGTGCAGGTAACGTTCAACAATGGAAACACAAACATTATCTTCTCTATAATCACATCTAATTACCAAGCCAACATTGTAGTTTCAAGCTTGCCATTAATCAAAGCATACCATAAACCAGGCATGTTGAGACAGCAGGAAGCTATTCTCTATTATTCAGCTTTTACTAGTAGCGCTAAGGCTTTGAAGTTGCAAAGAACAGATAAGAGAACAAGCTATACTCCAGCATTGATCATATTGTAAAAAAAGAGTATGATTCGTTAGAACAATTGGTACTTTTAATCTTATCTCATAAAAACATGGCAAACCTAGCAAAACAAAACAGTAATTAGATATGAGAAACTTGAAGTAACAATCTTCATAACGTACGTAAATCTGAAATCTCCCCACAAAGTAGTTACATTCTCATCTTAAAACAGATCCACATGAGTTCTGCTCATCTACAAAATTTAGACGGCAGAAATGGACAGTGCCGTATTATCTCGTTTCATCTATCTAGAAACATGCAAAAACAGGGTCCCCAAATCAAGGAATAAACACTAAAACATACAATACAAGATTCATCATGGTTCCTGATAACTACTTTACAATCAAGCTTCTGAGAAATTCCTATTGAAATAGGAGAAAAAACAAACAATTCGCTCCTCTTTAAACTCAGTAACAATCATTAGCCCAGGCCTCCAGATAACAATATTCAAAATCAAAATTTTGATTGAGCTCAACAAATAGCAAAGAAACAGGTACAATAATGGTTTTAATAACTCTAATTGTTGATTCTCCAAATTTTCATATAGTCTTAATAAACTATACTATAATCCTTACTGAAGCATCATAGTTAAGCAATTAAAAGCATTTGATATTTGCATATCCCTGCACCCAAAAGAAAAATAAAAATTGCATACAGTTCATTTGACTGTCCCACCCCTTTGCTTATGTTTGATCACTCCTCTCAGATAATTTTCCCCTTCCAACCATTCTGTGCAGTCATCCATAAGCACCACTCTTCCCTGGTGAAGCATGTCTCACCATGGTACCCAAATTGCTAACAATATATGAATATAGAAAATAACCCAATACTTCTTTTTAACCTCAAATCCTTTTAGAGTCATCAAATTCTCATCTCATTCATTTTCTATCAAAACCTCCTAGAAAGGCTTCCTTTCAAACAATTTCCAAGTTATCACTAGGAATCAGAACTTTTGCTGTCGCCAACGATGGTAAAGCTGTTATTTTACATGGCAAAAAGACAGACTAAGATTTCCTAACCTCAATCCATTTCCTAAACAAAATAGTACTAGATTGAAGGCTTCTAAATGTACACCAGAAATCAGCTATCAAGTAAATATTAAAAGCAGAGGAAGGTATTAAAAGCTGTCAATAAATTAAATTCCAATAAAACAACAGATATAAAGACATGGGTATTGAAGATTAAAGGCTAAAGAGAAAGAAAAAACCAATTTTTGACCAAAAAAAGAAGAATTTAAGCTTTGGGAGTTACCTGAAAGAAGTGTAGCTAAAGAATCCAACATCCAAACACATGAAGAGAAGTGAAGCGGAGGAGAAAATTATTTGTCCCAAACGAAGAGCCAAGCTAGCGCTTGTTCCCAACGCCCCTGGCACTTGCTCCATCATCCTTCATGCCATCTTGTCTCTCTGTTCCTCCATCTTTAATTTCCCCAAAAAAAAGGTCCCAAGAAAATGAAAACAGGCTTAAAGAGAAGAATTGGACTCGAAAATTACAAAAATTATGTTATATATATATATAAAAAAAAAAACTCCGGCTTTGGTGGTTGTTTCCTATGACAAAGAAATTGGAACATAAAGAAGAAAAGACAGGAAAAAGACTGGATGGTTACGCTGGATCATTGAGAATGCGAAGTTTTTCTAACAGAGTTTTTGGGTCAATTTTTATTCTCTCTCTTCATTCTTACATTTGTAAAGACTTTGTCTTGTCTCCAAATGATTTCTCCATTCTGATTCTCGTACGTGGATTCCCGTGGCTTTCCGTTACCCACCCTTTGACATATTTTCATGTCCCATTCTTACTGACATTACTTTTCTTCTTTTTGGTGTAAAAATGCCCCGTCCAATTTGTTTTCTTGTAGTTTTTTTTCCAAAGATGACGCCATTAAACTCAAGCTATTTCATGGATAATGAAATAAGATTTAATTATCAACATTTCAGGCATATAACAGCCCATTTTTTCATCCACTATGAAATTTCATTTCCCAGTTTAATAGTTCCTCTTTGGGATTTTAGTTTTAATAAAATGGGATGAAAGTCAAAGTTTTATAAAGAGTAGAAATTTGAATAAATCGTTTAAAGATTAGTTTAATTTGACAAGTTGAGTTGATTAATTTGAACCATACAAAGTTGGTTGCCGGGCCAGACAATTTGAACCCACAAAAGGGTATTTTTAAGGCAGACCTAATTCCTTTTTTTTTTTTTATTTATTTATATTTTTTTTTTATAAAAAATTACAATTGAAAGATAACAAATAAAATTATATATATTAAAATTTAAAATTTAAACTTGTTAAATACTACATTTTTAAGGTAATTAATGCAGATTAAATGAGTTAAATTCTAAATTGTTCGTATATTTAATTAATAATACTATTTATATATATCTTATTTTATAGAGTTGGTTGATCTGTACTTCATGTTGGAACAGCTAAAACAATGAAATGAAACTGTCCATTTCATGATTCAATGATTTCTTGCCAATGTTCAATGATTGAGTGTCTGCATTCTTTATCTTTTTTTTTTTTTTTCAAACTCAATTATTAAATAACATATCTTAGCATTACAGGCTAGAAACCTGAATGCTCCCTGCCATTACTCTTCAACGCTTCCCTCCTAACTATTGGGCCGAAAGCTATAAACTGAGGTCTGAGGTCACAGGTGGGATGATCCTAGGCTGAATGGCAGTAATATTTTATACTCCAATTAAGATTGCATTACTGAAATCAGGGCATTTTCTATAGAACAACGATTGGCACAAGAAAAAGGACAGCAAGATCGAGTCCAAAATATCATCAACCAATCACACTATGTTAATACATCCAAGTTTTACTATTTTATGTATTGCTTCTAGGGGAAACTAGTAAACTGATATGAATTGGCCATTTCATTCAGCCAAAAGCTTCGGAAGTTTTCAATGGCCTTAACTTTTGGTTTCCATTTTTGGGTATTTTCCTGGTGTTTACTTCTCCTGTTTCTCATTAGAAGGCTATTGATTTTGTATCAAAGAAAAATAAATGTGTCATTTACTTACTGCAGTTACCTTAATTTATCAGAACCAACATAGTGATATACAAAGAAGATAATAATTTCAATGCTTCTCATTGGGTTACAGCAAAGTTTAGCAACAGCTTCAAATTACAAAATCTGAACCAAGAATAAATACATTCATACAAAACCTCTCTATGATTCAAGCTGAGCATACCAGATACCAGTGATCTTCACTTCCTTAGGAGTTTTGGCACCCAAATCAGTGTCAGATGGCTGAAGGCTCTCAAACACACCAATTACTTCTCCGGTCTCAGGCTTGCTCTTGGTAACACTCAAGGTGATTTTGCCTGATGAAGATGCAGCATTCTTGTTGTTCTCCTTAGCTAGCTCTTCCTCATCTCCTCTTCCTCCAGCGGGCAAAGCAACTGCATTGTCATAACCGGTCGAACCACCCCTTCCCTTTGGGTCCAAGAAAGATGAACCACGGTAGGATGGTACGAGGAAGTCTCCTCCAAAGCTCTCAGGTTTGCCTGATGCCACCAATTGCTTGATGGTGAAAAGGAAGGGCACACGTTCACCTCCAGGAAGCTGAACTGTCACAGCAGCGTAATCAATTCCATCTTTCTCCTCAAATTTGACAGTGCCATCAGTAGATACTTCGAAAGGTCCCTCGATTTCATCAAGGGTGTAGGTTAAACGGGTCATGAGCTTGGTTTTTTGGAACTCCGGAGCGGCATTCTTGTTAACACCCTCAGCCTTGACAGTGAAGGAAGTGGGCTCTAAGCAGAACTTCTTGGTGTAGTATTTGCCAGGCTTGAAGGCAAATGAGTCAAGACCACCGTCGATGGTTGGGCACTGGTTAGCAGTTCCTGTTCCCTTTACTTCCATGTATGTCTTGCTCTGGATTTCATCAAAGGTTAGCCTCTTTGGAACTCCTTCAGCGCTTGCTCCCTTCAAAAGAAACGAGTTACAGTTACATAATGTTCAGATCATAGTATCATCAACTCTTTCTTAGCAAAACTAAAATGAAAATGGAAATGGTCCACCAAGGTGGACTTTTCTCTAAAAATCATAAGGGCATATTAAACAAACAAAAAGAGAATTGGAGCTTAGTCAGAGGAATAAAATGAAGCCAAAAGAACTATACCGAGACAACAAGAGCAGATGTAGCAAGAGCGAAACCAGCGACCTTGGTAGCATCAAGACACTTTTGAGCCAAGTCCTTAAGGTCAGTTTGCAAGGAGCAAGTCAGCCTAGCACCAACAGGCTCCAAACCAAACGAATTAGAAACGCTCTGGGAGGACCTGAGCTGCATGCTGGTCCTAGATGGCACACCAACCTTGCTTGGTTGCATGAGGGTAGCGGCTGCTTGTAGTGAGGCTGCCATCGTTCAAACTCTGAAAAGAAAGAAACCCCTTTCTGTGTTTGTGTCAGGAAACGAGGAAACTCCAAAAAGGAGTGTTGTTTTAGTGAGAACGAGGGGGTGAATGGCAAATTTTTGTGGCCATTATTTTGGTGGCATTGGTGTGAGTAAGATAAGGGGATTGGATAAGGGATGTTCCTATTGATGGAATGAAGCTAATGTCCTTCGTTTCACGGTTTGCCATCTGGGGATTTTGTCTAACGGGATAAAGATACTGTTTACTTCAGAGTGGATGATGATGTGGAAGATGTTGAGATTTTAATGTTGCTTGGCTTTGGCCATACAAATTTTGCCTGGTTGTCCTTACTCCGCTGGGATCACTGGTTAGACTCAGGCTGTCAGTTCAGGGTAGAGGTGAAAAAAAAAATCGATCTAAAATTTTTTATTTAATTTAAATCAAATTTAAATATTAAATAGATATATTAAATTTAAATTAAATATCGAATCTAAATATAAAAAATTGAATTATATATTTTTATTAATTTATATATACTTAAATTTTTATAAAATAAAAATAATAATTATATGTATTTATTTAAATATATTAAAATTTTTATTAAAATAATATAAAAAATAAAAACTTTAAAATTAAAAAATTAAAAAATTAAAAAATTATAAATCGAATTTATAAAAATCTATTGAAATCAAATCAATTTTTTAAAATTAAATTCTAAAAATTTATAATATTATATATTATTAAAAAAATAAAAAAAATCAAATTAAATTCAATCGAAACGATTATTACCGCTAGATCAGGCTAATGGGGCAAATCCAAATCAAAATCACTTTCATCAACTTCTTCCTTTTGGGTTGTGATTAACTATTATGGACCCTCAAGAGAAATCCCAAATGAAAAAAAGTTCAAAGCCCAAATACTGATAGATTCCAAACCCAATCCAAAATGAAGGATATAAAAAGTTATAACAGGCCTTTTTAATTTTATTTGTAGCAATTTAATTTACAATATTATGATTATCACCTTTTCATAAAACCGAACTTTCATCCCACAAAAGATTAAAAATCCCCAATTTTTATGGATTAATTTTTTTTTAATATTTCTTTAAACACAGTCCAAAACCTTGAGATAAAGAAAAAGAGAACAGTTCAGAAATGCTTGAAATTTAGTATTTCTTATTTTTATACGAAAAAATACTCAAAAATGCAAAAATAACCATTTCAAAAATCAAAATTTCATCCCCAATATAAATTTCAGCTCAAGCTAAAATCCTTTGAGATTAGAGCATATTTGCTCGGAGGTAGTTGAAAGGTTAATCACAGGTAATCCTCATTAACCCTAAACCAACCTCACCATTGCTTACAAAAATTTTTATAAAAATATTGAAAAAAGAAAAATCTCTCTTTCTTTATGGCATTCAGAATGAGTAGAAAGTGATTGATCATCACAAAACTCAGGCAGTTTTATAAATTCATCCTCATTATGCCTTGAAAACAAGAAAAAATCGATTTTTGATTATTTTGATATAAAAATATAATTAAAAAAAAGGATAGAATATGGGTTTCTCTCAGACAAATGCCTCGATTTGTCGTCATGATTTGAAAGAATGGAAAAGCTTCGGACTCGTCATCATATTCGATCGTCACCGAGATACCCCTTATAATCCACCATTTACTATCCTTCAATTTAATGATAAAAAAACCGCCATTGATGAAAACGAAACAATTATGCTCTAAAATGGAATCGAAAGAGGAACGGAAGGGGAAGCTTTTTTTTTTTGGGCACCTTTCTGAGATTTTAGAACCACTTGAGTGTGCAAAATCAATGGTGAAATGCCTCTGGCTTCCTTTTATAGGCGAAAAGTGATTTAGGGTTAGGGATTTTCTTTCTGTGGCTTCAATCCTCACCCTCCACATATGTCAAATTTACAAAATAGCCATCCGGCTCTTATCTGGCCCTGATGGGTTTCAGCTGTGACCCAAGGTCTATCACAGGTAGAGGTATGAAAAAAATAATAATAATAATAATTGTTTTGAGATTGTATTATTTGATTTGGTTCTTTTTTTTTTTTTAATTTTATTTGGATCAAATTTAAATATTAAACATATATATAATTCAGATTGAGATATAAAAAATTTTAAAAAAAAATAACTGAATCAAATTATATATTTTTATTAATTTTAATATATATAAATTGATTTATATATATATAAATACATAAATAAAATTTAAATATAAATAAACCGAATTTATTTGAATTGATAAAATTTAATTCGGATTAAATTAATTTCAAGATAAGTTCAATTCAAATTTTAAAAATTTATAATATTATACATTATCTAAAAAAAAACAATAATTCTAATTCAATTCAAACCGTTATTATATCAAATCTTTGAATATTCCTTACTCTTTTCCTAATTATTTAGCTTTTCAATAAAAAATAGTTGAATAATGTTTATTTTCAAGAAATTGGAATTAGAATTGGTTTTTTTTTTTTTTTTTGTGAAAATGTTTTTTTTACCAAACTTTTGTGAAAATATTTAGACAAGAAAAGATTATCCATTGGAAGATGATGGTATATCACAAAACTTAACAAACATTTACTTTGGAATTGCATATTGCTAAAACTTGTAATAGTGAAAATCACACTTATATCTTATAAATAAAATATTTAACTTTTACCAACTCAACAAATTCTTCTTCACAAAAAATTTAAATTTTAATACATCACGGGCAAGGATAACCATAAATAATTGAATTTAATATGCAATAATAAATAAATAAATAATATATAACAAATTTTCCAACTAAATATAGCAAAATAGAAATACAAATTATTTTCCTTCATAAGAAAATATACTTAACAAATTAAATTATTGGATATTTATGAAGGCTTTGACACATGGACAATGAACATTAGAAATCATGACATTAAAAAATACTAATAATAGTTTTTGTTCAAGTTTAGCAGAGCAGCAACAATTCAGCATTGTACCGAGTGTGTGCCTAGACGAAGTGAAGCACCAGCGACCAGACAGGGTAGACTATAAGAAGGATAATGCCGATGGTGTTTGATATTCCATGGCTCTGAGTGAAGGAATTCCGGAATCCACCCGATGCTCGGATGTGCTCTTGCAGTAGGTAACAGCCGATGAGGAGGCATATCAGAACTCCAACCCAGCTGCCCTTCAAGGTGACTGCAAAGAAGTTTGGAGCCACCACCAGAAGAAGGATCAACGATCCTGGCATCTCCAGCCAATCTGGAATCATCAACGAATGATTGTATCGGAAAAGGGGACTAAAACAGTACGCACTGCAGGCAGAAGTACCCTCTGGCACAATAACGCAGATGCTTTGCACTCAAGCACAAGCAGTGAGATGTTTTTGTTTGTATATAGTTATGGATTGGCATAAAACTATTCTGGTAAAAGGAAATGTTGAAATGCATGGAATCTCAGCCATGGCATCAATGGAACAAAGTAACACAAACAAGTGTATGAGTTCTAATTGAGGAACATGCACTCTAGAAATAAGAGCAATGCAGTTAGACTTGTTTTGCGTGATATACATTTGAACAAAGTATATCTGAATCTCAAATACTAAATCATCAAAGTGACCAGTCACCATATTTGGTCGGGAATATGTATAGATAATTAAATTGGAAAACCAAAATAAAAATCAATGAAACTACCAAGGCAAAAACTCTATTTGCTATGACAAAATCACAATGACAAATAAAGCTTAGGAAGACATGTAAGGAGGGAGGTCAAACCCCACATTTCCCATCCAACCAACAACAAAAAACAATGACAGAAAATTAAAAAGAAAGATACATGTTGTGGGGAAATTTTTGCAAACTTACATGACTAGAAATAACATCTAATAAGTAGGGAATCAATAATAAGCAAGTTATTATAAGCACCAGTTAAAAAGCCAGAACATGTAACCATTGTCAAAGCCAGAGTTTTGATTCCATATGAGATCAATTTGTGTTTGTTATTGACTTATTTTCAATGTCTACATGAGAGAGAGAGAGAGAGAGAGAGAGAGAGAAGGAGATATGTGGAAAAGTTTCGCTTTCTTCAACAACATAACATGTCAGTTGCCACAGTTAGAAGAATAACAGAGCAAGATAAGTATTACAGCCTAAATAGTGTCGAACTTATACCTGGAAAGTGTCGGGGGAAGAACAGCCTTAGAACAACTGCAATGAATGCAATCCATTTTCCAACCTCTCCCCTGAATGTATTTAAATGGATACAGGAAATATACTTAAGCAGAAGAAAAAATGGGGCAAAGAAAAAAGGTAGTAAAGATTCTCACCTTAGAAAGTCGAACAGTACTGAAGGAAGACTAAAGAAGATGTAAGGTACCAGAAGAGAAGTTAACATGTTCGTTCTCCAGTTTGTTCGGTCCAGGATTAACAAATAACTGCAGAGAACATACAGAAATTTTAATTGCAACATTACCAGCTTGTTATAAACAATATGGCATTTATGAAGTTCAATTTGAATAGCAAAATGGAGATTCAACACTAGGTTAGAAATGAATCACAGTCATAGTATAAGAGAAAGTCCAGTTATTATAAGCACTGGGTCTGAGTTTAATAGTTAGATCAAAGATAGGATTAAAGAAAATACATGACCACCAATTTAGTATCTGTTGAGAGTAATCGCCAACTTTCTCTTTCTGTCCCATCTTAAAACCCAATAAAGTGGTAAAAATGAAGCAGAATAGGATCAGGTTTTTAATTTTTCGTATTTCACAAGTATCACAGTCCATCCTCTCTGCAAATTTGACAATGCATAGATGTTCTTATGAACATTACAAAGAAGTTAAGACAGAATGAACTCAAAACCTTAACCAAATGGCTAACGCCCTGAGTTCTGCTTAGCTGCTTTAATTAAGCCAATTTGAACAAGCAGCAAATAATGGCTCAAATAAATTGACAATCTGAACCACATATCCCGCAATTTGCACGCAAACAAAGTCATCAAATCATTAACTTCATTGGTATATAATACAGTAAATCTGTGTCTTTAAAGATTTTGTCAAGAAATCAGTTTCAACTTCCATTTTATTGATATTCTAGTAAAAGGTGAGATTTCCCATAGGCATATGGCCACATAGCATAATGCGTCAGCTGGTTGGATCCTTATACCATTTAAAAGCATTAATGGTTGCTAGCTTAGGCAATAGCCAGTAGTACTTGATCTCTTCATTCAAACTGATAATCTATTAGTTCAAAGCACCTTTTTAGACAAAGGTATTTGCCTTTTTTTTTTTCTTTTTAGCACCAAGTTTCCTGAACTCAAATTTCCTCCCCACAATGAAACATAACTTTAAGGAAATAAATCTGACAGGAAAGAGATAGATAAGTCCCCTGCTGAGGTGACATAATTTGGATAAGTATAACAAAGCGATCCTAACAATGACTGATACCAAACCTTCAAAACTAACAGTTTAGAAAATTACAGATACACATGTAAAAATAAGTTTAATATTCAAGAAAACCAAGCCGAATTAAAAACATGACTGATAAGCACTTTCCACATAGGACTCTTCTCCACCCATCAAGGATAACCATATATATTAATAGACCCAACTAATCCAAAACCACTAACAAATCTTAGGAAATTTAACAACCCATTAGAAAAAAACAAAACCCAGTTTTATATAAAGGTCAGAGAAGAAACTTACATAGCCGAAAATGAAGCAACCCATTTGAGAAAAGAAGTTCCAAAACCAAGACCTCCAAGCTTAGTTGCATCCTTGATTAGTTTCTTTGCAGCCAGCTTCAGGTCATGGATATCAGAACTGATCAATTCTTCAGCTACAGGATCAGTTTTCATAGCCAAATACTCCATTCTCCCCATTTCTCAGCTTTTTTTTTGCAGATCTAACTAAAACAAATGAGGGTTCTTCAGAAATGAAAAATGTTATGATCTTTTCAAGGAAGAAGAAACTAGCACAATAATAAGCGACAGATAGAAAAGATCTAAGAAAAGAGTGACAGACAGGCAGTTTACCTTTGCTTTTGTTTTGGATCTTATCTGATTGCTTAAGGATGCAAATTTACTTTGAGAGTTTAACAGTAAATGGGAGGGACCCCTTTGGTTTTTTTCAGGATTTCAGATTAGTTTAAAGTAAAAGGGAATGTGAAGAGGATTCGGAGTTTCGGATCATGACTGTATTCTCGGCTTTGAATGTGTTGGAGATGAGGGACAAAGCTTTTGCACGTGGCTTTTTCAGAACTGGAGATTTGTTAGGTTGGCCCATGGAAAGCTGCTGTTGTTAAAAGCTAAACCAACCATCGATAAGATCATGGGCCTTGTATAGTACCAATGGGCCTACCCGTAGTTTTCAATTCCTAATCCATTGTTGCATAACCAAGTAAACACTGATAACAGGGCCGAGAGGAAAACCGAAAAAATAAAAAATTAATTTAAAATTATAGTGTTCAATTTAATACGAATTATTTTTTTATTCGATTCATACAAAGTTTGAATATTAAATTTATATATTATGTTTGAATCAAAAAATTTTAATTAAAATAAAATCGAATCAAATTAAATTATATATTTTAATTAGTTTTATATATTTTTAAAATTTTTATAAAATAAAACAATTATTTTATATTTATATTTATTTAAATATATTAAAAATGATATTAAAATAATATTTAAAAACCAAAAAAAATTAAATTTAAAAAGTTGTTGAATCAAACTAAATTTTAAATCAAATTAAATCAATAAAATTTGATTCAATTTAAATCAAAAATTAAATATTTATAATTTTATATATTATTTTAAAAAATCAAATCAAATACAATTCGATTATCACTCTTAACTAATAAGAAAATAATGTTGACCATAAAAGTGAACTGAATTACCCTGTTCAGCTAGTTGCTTAAGATCCCATTACTAGGACTAGTTTGGATTCTATCACATTTTCCATCTGATAAAATTCAGATTTTTTTTTGGGACTAATTGTATCGCGAGATGCATTTAAACAACAACTTGTTGATGCAAATGTACCCTTAAAAAGGTGAGAGATGTTATCCACTTATCCTCTAAAGTCCAACCTAGAGAATGCTGGAGACCCCTCAACCAATTATCAGAAAACAAAAAGTCTCACGCCCCCAATTCCGGAACCTAATTATACTTTTGGAAGATAAAAAATATTCTCTGTCAAAGTCAGCAATTTAACACTACAATTTGCCGTTTTACTAATCATACAAACAAGGTACGCATCCATCCTATGTCCTGCTTTGAATTCTGATTATAGTCCTATTATACCCAGGACTCCTAGAATTATTGATCTTGGCAAAACACAACATTTTCTTTTATTGCATACCAAATTTGGGTGGGAATCTCGCCAAACAACTCTACCTCCCAACACCTTTGACCCCTACAGGCTACTACTACAACCATTTTCATTTTGTTTAAGAAGAACTTGTGAAAATGGTCCCAAAATGGGTGCCCTGAGAAGGAGGGTCGAAGGTCAGAAACTTCGAACTCATTAAAAGATGAAAAATAAACAAAACATAGAGCTGAAGGAAACATTTTCTTGTGATTTTAGTTTGACTCTTAGTTCATCTAACCCCCACCCAAAACAATCCAAAAAGTAATCATCATGGCCATGATGCTTCCAATTTCTAAAACTCCAAAAGCAAAACCAAAGAAAATGCCCCCACACTTCAAAAAGTGAGGCTTTCCCCATCTGCCTTCTCCACTAAACCCCCGTGAGTTGGCCATCACCACTGACCAGCCATTTTCACTTACTTCCCCAATCCCGTTTGCCTCAAAAGATGCGTTCAATCAACCAATCCACAAAATTAATGATTTAAAAAAAAAAAAAACAAACTTTCCTTATTTCCTTTTTTTTTTTTGGGCGTTTTTGTTTACGTTGCACGTTAAAACAATCATTTGACAGTTATGTTCCTGTGCGGGTAGCTCTATGGTAGATGCCTTCTTCTTCCCGCCTCCGCAACCGTTGATTCATGAGAATCACAAACTTGAGTCTTGAATTTACACCCGAACCTCCTATTCAACGACCCTCTCCAGCCACCGCCACGTGGACCTTCATTCTCAATCTTCAGGATCACTTTCTTCATCGTGGAACATTCCCTCTCCAGCTGATGCACCCGCGTCCTCATGCTGTCCATGTCCAGCCGCAGCACCTGATTCTCCCTCACGGCCGCTCTCCACGTGCTATTCCCTTCCTCCCCACGTGACACCGAAATCGCCACCATCGTTTCCTCCTCTTCTTCCTCGTCCTCTTCCTCCCTCCTAGCCTCCGACAACCTCCCCCCATTCATGGGCGACACTTCCGCCGCCAACAACGTCCCGGCGATCGCGTGACGTAGCTGCAATTGCTCGAAAAACAATACTTGCACGACCGCGCGTAATGGTAACCGCTCGTTTTGTGCCGCGTGTGTGCACGCTTCAAGCGTTAGCTTTTGACAATCTAACACTCCGCATATCTTTTCCCGCTCTGATGCCGCTATCCAAGGATGCGCCTGCAAAAAAAAAAAAACCCTCAATCAACTAACTTCAATCATATTTTTACAATTTAAGCCTTTTCTTTTTCTAATTTTACCTTGAGGTACAAATCAACAGCTCTGTAAAGTCCATCGTCGAAGTTTCTAGCTTGGTCAGGAAGGGAATTTGCAAGATTATAAAACTTCTCCGGCTTCAAATTCACATCGGATGCGATCTCCGATAGGTAACCGTCGATTAATTTTCCTACGAGCAACAACGCAGGCGGTCTAACATTATTATTAATATTAATAATGTTATTGTTGTTACCTCCGGTTTCGGCTTCGATTCCTGCTGCTTTTCTCTCTTCTAATCCGCCCAAAAAATAACCTAAAATCCTCTCAATGCAATCAACGTCATAGAGCGTTTCGTTGAGATACGAATAGCTCGGAATTAACAGATCATCTAACGTAGCTTGCTCGAGCTGGAAGCCGATCTTCTTCTCTAGCGCGGCTTTGCTGGATTCCGAAGTGTTTAAAATGTTAGCGGTTCGTAACAAACCGAATAAGAACCGCGTAGCGGTTGATGATCGGGAGGGGCTCTGTTCTAACGGAAGGTTCGAGATTATAGTTTCCAAGATCTCCCTCTGTTCATTCTCTGAAACAACTGAGGCCGACGACGACGACGGTTTCCGATTTGACCGCGACGTTCCGGGAATGTACTTCTTAGCGTAACACATAAGGCAGCTTTCGATGATCTCTGGACGCAGATCTCGCATTTTCAACGTTAAAATCAAGCGTTTAAACAACGGCAAACTCAGCAATGCCAGATCTTCAAACCAGAACTCTACATTGCTCGTTCGAGCCAGAGTTTTTCTTCTTAAACCGGTTTCAATTCCGTTCCATAAAGCTTGACTCGAAGCGCCTTTAGCTTCAATGATTCCATCATTCACTGGCCAGCCAAACAGAGTCGGATCTGTAGAAGAAGCTCTCGAAGCGATCGAATCAATCAATCTCTGAACAATGCCTAAAGATTCTGCTAAAGACATTACCGATTCGCAAGATTTTAACGCTTTGATCGACTCTTTAAGGCTTTTAAAAATGGATTGAGAAAGGAACCGTTCGGTTTTGGAAATAAGGTTATCTTCGGAGAACTCATCAGTCATTTCGAGAAACTCGGCGGCGCAACGGAGAGGAACGACGGTGGAGGAGGAGAGATCGATTTTAACGCCGTAACAGAATTTGGCGGTGGTTTCAAAAGTTTCCGAACCACCCGGAAAATCAGGAAGAGATATTTGGTATTGATCTTCTCCATCTTGTTGTTCTTCATGATATTCTTCTTCCTCTTCCTCTTCTTCTTCGATTTCGCTCTCGGTTTCACGTTGCTTTTGTTTGGTAACGGTTGCAGTAGATGATTTCCGACCTTGCTCTGCTATTAACTGATCAAGTTTCCGGCTTTTGGACATCAAAGGAAACTGAAAATTTTTTTTTAAAAGAATCATTAAACAGAATAAATGGTTGTTTTAGTTGAAAACTATGGAAAATTCAAAGCTTTTCGAACCTTATGGAGATGAAAAATCATGTAATCAACTTCTATTACAATGTCACTTGGTAATCCAGTGGCACAAAACCTGCAAAAAAAATGACAAGAAAAAAGTCACATTTTTTTGTAAGTTTTTTGAGGCATAAGAAAAAAAATTGAAATGAAAATCTAACCATGCTTGGCCTTTAGAGCTAGGTTTGTCAGCTGCCATTTCTTGTTGAAGTAAAAATCTTCAGTTCTTTGAAAATCTGTTATGAAAAACCTAGAGCAGATCCATTCATGGCTTCTGTTTTGTCAAGCTTTCAGTTGTAGAGGGTTCTGGGTGTGTGAAGAAACAATTAGTAGCGAAGAAAGAGAAGATTGGGAATTGACAAATGAAGGTTGAACAAATTTCGATAAAGGAGGATCAAATTTTTATATCAATTTTTTTCTTCTTTCTCTGAATCACATCAGAATCTCAAGTCTCAACCACCCCAACTCTCTCTCTCTCCTAAAACGTCAAAGAGAGGGAAAATGGGACTGAAAAAATATAGCTTTTTGAAGAAAAGACCGTATAAAGGAAGAGCAATCAACTTCCCATTTGAGCAAGTAACTGTGCATTCTTTTATAATTACTAATACTTTTACCAACTCCATATAATAGAACAATTATCCCAATTGTGCCAAAACAATGAATCATGAAAGGATAAAACCTCATTTAGTCTTTAAATTAAGATTGTACTTTTTTTAATGTAATACTTAAATAAAAAATTTTAATTAAGAATTTAAATTATATTTTTATATATAAAATTATTTTAATTTTTAATATTATTAAAATAATATTAAAATAATATTTAAATATGAACGACACATTATAATGTGATTTAAATATGATTATTATATATTATTTTTAAAAATAAAAATTTTTTATTATTTTTTTATTTAAAAATTATAAATACAACCTAATTATTGCAATCATATGTTATTCACATTAACATTTAAATGTTATATCACCATTATTCTAATAGAGTTAAGTGATTGTGTTAATTTAATACACATAATTAAAGTTTTAAATATCTGATTAAATTTTTTTTAATTTAAATATTATATTAAAAATTTATAGTAGTTCGAGGATCAAATAAAATATTATCTCAATCATGAAATTAGTAATAGCATCGAACATGAAATTTAATTGAGTTAGATCATATAATTAATTTTAAAAGTATTATTTAATATATATATTTTTATTTTTATTTTAATATATATAATTTAATTTTTATTTTTAAAACTGCAACTTTTTTTATTACAAAAATGATAATAACATTAGCTTATAAAAAAATAAAATTATTATAAAGTGATTCTGTCTCTATCCTTTCTTTTCCCTCTTTTGCTTGTTATTGAGGTTGGATATTTAAGGAGGAAACTTCTAGGCTAGTGGACTCAAAGTTAAGTATTCTTAATAAGGAATTATCAACATAATTGTAAACATAGTGAGTAGTCACTAATCTTTGCTAATTGGCCATTGCTTACAACTGTGATTTTGAAGCTTTTTTACATCATACCTAAGAGATCATACGATTTTACTAGCTTTTCTTATGTCAAGATCTTGGCTTGTCCATGATAGTTAACAGTCCAACGCTTTATAGGCTACAACCAAATTGTTCCTTTCCTCAAAATTTTTCCTTCAAGGGGGGGAGGAAAAATTGAAATGTTGGATGCCCAATTCTACAAGCAATAGATTCATTGTTATTAATACAGTCATGTGAAAATAAATGGCCTTAGACCATATCTAGCACATGACCCACATAAAAGAAAGCCACACGGCTTAAAAATGGTTGTTTTTAAGTTATGTTTGAAGATTCAAACCCTTTTCCTCCTTTGCTTTCTCATTTTGAATTGTTTGAAAATTCAGGTCTCAAAACAAAAGTATGGTCTGACTTCATTTATGGCACCTTATCCGTCCTTGTAGCCCCTTCCTTGCTTTGCATTAATGAGGTAACCACAAAGGAATGTTACTTAGTTAATCACCACCCACGAAAGTTGAAAGTTATGCCTTTGCAAAATATAGTACAATTTTCCATCCAGGATACAAGAGACAAGGCAAAAGATCTGGATTAGCATGAATTATAACTCCTTGATTCTTTCTTTCATTTCTTTGAACTGTGTTTCTTGTTCTTTGATTTTTTGAATGCTGGGATAAGAATTGAGTCATAGTCATTCAATTATTAAACTAAGATAATGATCTAATAATTGCTTTAGGATGACGGTGATGATGTCAAAAACAAGGGCTGTGGAAAAGGATAAAAGGAACCCTTGTTCAAAGCTGAATATTCTGATAATAATTGCGTTTGAATGAAATTTGGCAGATAGAGAAATCATTGGAAGCATTTTTTATTTCTTCATTTTCATGTGGTTAGGTGACTAATCATGAGACAAAATGCACAAAAGAAGGATGGGGTAGTAGTTTCATTGGGGCACACCTCATTTTGGGTGCATACTGAACTGGCTGTTTTCAATCAAAAGACAACAAAAAAGTTGGACCATAAAAAGCCAAATATTTTTTAACAAGGTCTGAACAATTGCAACTTAATGTTTTGGTTTGATGAAATCAATAATTCTAATGTGTGTCACATGCTTGTTTATTTGAGGTGACAGATGCTCCCCACTAATAAGAGAAATCCAATGCCACCTTTAAATCGTAATCTAATCTCTTATAGGATTTCAAATCTCTCTCAATGCTTCTGCCTGGAGTTTGGAACTCATCAGAAAATTTAACGGATTTAGGGTTAAAAGCAAGAAAGCACAGAACCCATGACAGAACCATCCAAAAGAAAACCAAAACCCCATGGAGACTAGTGGGGGTTTAGTGCTAAGGGGAAAATTTTATGGCACCATGCACAAGATAGTAACACTCTTATTTTTAGTTCATTAATCCATACAGCTGGAAAGATATATTTCAGTCAACAAAAAATTGACAGCTATCAACCACAATTACATTATTAACATAATCACTCTTATAAAAATAACCCTTCTCTGTCTTTCTCTCTTTGCTTTATTAATTCATATATTAGCCTACCATTACTCCAAGGCAGACCCTCTGCCAAGCATTCAAAGCACTTAAGATGATTTCTGGTTGCCTGCAAAAGAAAACCAAGTAATTATTTACTAAAATAAAAGCTTGATATTTAGATAAATAATAAATACTTAAGATGTTCGGTTTGTTGTCCCTCGCTTTGCATCTTTCCTGGTTCAGTTTTTCAACCTCATCTTACCTGAAGCTGGAGTTGCAGTTGCAGTAGCTGGTTGTTGTTGCTTGTTGTTGTTTGTCACACTCTTTGTCGATGGGGTGGCAACGCCAGGCCATGATCGGCACATGCAGCGTTTTCCCTCATCTATGCTGGCATAGAGGGTGGCTAGGTGCTTGCCACAGCCACCCCACGAGTTTTTTCCACATTGCTTGCAATCCACCATATAACACATCCTTCAAAGAATTCTTCGATATGAATTGCTTCACATCTTTTTATCCTTTTCTTTTCCAGTTTTATAGTGGAACATTTGCTCTGATGTAATCGACCCATCTTATCACATTGCAGCTTAGTGTCGATTAATTGATTGTATCGTTTTGCTTAGTTATATTCTTGTCGCCTTCTCCTGTCTCCATCCCTTTGTCACAAAACTGCCGAATGATAATGGGATGAATTCTGGCTGTTTATACTTTAGCAGTGTCCTGGCAGCTAAGTGCCTATGCCGTTGAGGACACTTGACATTGTTCATTTTCTTGGGGCATGAAATCCTATGTCGACAAACTTGTCTAGGATATTCGTATTCTTATGCAGACGGAAAGGGGAAAAAAAAAGGGTCTCTAATAACTCCACATATGTTTTGACAAACTAAAATTCCTAACAACCCCAAATCTTGGCAGACAAGAACTACATAATAATTTGTAGTCATACTTGACAGGAAAATATTTATACGAAATTTCATATGTAAAGTTTGTAAAATTCTTTATTAAAAAAAATTAAAAATTAAAACTAATAGATTAAAAGATCTCATTAAAAAAATCAAACGTGTAAATATCGATCAAATTTGAATTATAAATAATTTTTTTAATAATTTTTTTATATATTATTGATCTTCACATTTAACTTTATTAATCTATTAATTTACATTCTTAATTGAAGTTTTTATTAAATCATTTAAAAAAATTTACAAATTTAACCTAATAACTTCACGTAAATTTTGTCTTCGTGGACAAATGTAACATGACTAAAGCATAAAAGGATTGCCAACTCAAAAAATACAAAACAATGAACTAAAACAAAACAAATGCTCCGGGAATTGGGATCTAAAATTTAATTTAATTAATTTATATAGTTATTTTAAGAATTGATATCAAATTAATTTTAGATTCAAATTCTTGTCCAAATTTCCTAAAATACAACAAATGCTTTTGATAAAAAAAAAAAAAAAAACTTATTTACTATATATTTTTGGAAAAAATTTAGATAAAGTTCATTAAATGAAGTTTGTAAAGTTTTCTATTAGAAATAACTAAATTAAAACTAAAATCGAATAGATTAAGTGTGTAAATTTTTTTATAAAAAAAATTTAATAAATTATATATATTTTTACAAAAATGTTAATAAAATTTTTACCGTTAAATAAATATTTATCAAATTTGAATTATAAATAATATTTTTAATAATTTTATATATATTATTGATCTTCATATTGAACTCTATTAATTTATTGGTTTGAATTTTTTATTAAAATTTTTATTAAATCATTTTTAAGAAACAACTTGACAAATTTCACCTAAAGAACTTCATGAAATTTACTCCACATTTTTTGACAAATGCAAATTTTCAATTAATCAATTTTTAATTATTTGATTGGTTTGCCTAGATATTGACTAATCAGTTTACTAATTGCTTTTAAACACTTTCCAGTTTCAACATACTAGTAAGTATTTTTGTGAAAAGAATAAAAAATAGTATATAAAATTATGGATAATATAGAACAATAATTATCATATATCATATTTGATTTGTATATAACAAAAAAAAAGATAAAATTATAAAGAAGATTAACCATTCTCTTGATATTAATAATTTAAATTATATAAACTTTGAGAAAGGATAATTTTGATAAATAAATAAAATTATCCTATCATAATCCTTACATACATCAAACACAAGAACCGATAATATTATTTAATTTAATGCTATTCATAATATCATCTTATCCTATTTTATCATAATTTTGTGTACTAAACGTATCCTTTAACATATAAAATTTTACAACGTGGGGCAAGAGTATTCACAAAAAATGATAAAATGCAAACACCAAACAGGAACAGTTCTTGCGAGGTCTCATGCTCGTTGAGATGCACTACCCAACAAGCTGTTTGTTGAAGGTCATGAGCTTTGTTCACTTAACCAATGATCTTGGACTGAAACAGGAGAACTATTTTTGACTTCATCCAATGAAGTTAAACAATCTCCTTTCACAGTGAATCTCCGGCTTCCAACAACCGACTTCTTGACTGTCTTAGTATTTAGAGATTTCTCACTTTCATCATCCGAAGATGGACAATATGAAGCCGTTGGTGATGGTGATTGGATGCACATGCCTGGAACCCAAGCGCTGAGCCTGATTTGTTCTAGCTCTTCCATGACTTCGGTCATGGTAGGCCTCATGTCCCGATGAAAAGCAAGGCATCTAAATGCTAGCTCAGCCACATTATGAATTGATGACAGTGTCCAAGCATCTCTATGGGGGTCAAGATATGGATCGATTATCTCGTCGACACAGCCTCTTCCTATCCTTTCATTAGCGAATGCAGCCAAGTTTACATCACTATGAGGACGTGAGAAGTCGACCACTTTCAATGCAGTTATTATCTCCACAAGAACAACCCCAAAACTGTAGACATCGCTTTTATCTGAAAGATGGAAGTACTGATGGTATTGAGGATCAAGATACCCAGGTGTTCCTTGGGGGGCAGTTGAGATGTGGGATGATTCAGTCATCCCAAGCCTGGAAAGACCAAAATCAGCTACCTTGGATCTATAGTTGTAGTCCAAGAGTATGTTGCTAGACTTTATATCTCGGTGAAAAATAGGTGGGTTCACAGAGTGAAGATAGGCAATGGCCTTGGCAGTTTCAGTGGCAATGGTGAGCCTTACTGTCCATGGAAGTCCTTCACTCCTCTCCCTTTGTAGATGCTGGGATAAGGTTCCGTTAGGCATGAATTCATAGACCAGGATAGGTTCACCCTCCTCTATGCAGCAACCTAAGAGGCGGACAAGGTTTGGGTGACTGACAGAGGAAAGGAGCTTTATCTCATTCATTACTTGGTCAATACTATCAGGGTCTCTATATCTGAACCTTTTTATGGCAACCCAATCATCATTGTGGAGTTTTCCTGCATAAACTGTACCATAGGCTCCAGTCCCCAGCCTATGCTTTTCAGAGAAGCCATTAGTAGCTCTTTCAATTTCTCTATAGGTATAGAAAGGAACACTTGAATTGCCTGCAGCTTCACACAGAAGGCGCTTTGCACTCATCTGTTTGTTGACGGAATTACGACGCCGCCGAACGTAGCAACATAAAAGAGCCACACCACCCATTAGCAAAGCCCCAGCAACAAGCCCTAAGAACAAAACAACGTGGTTCATCGGTCACTTCAAGAAGACAATACAGAAACTATAAGAAGAATGATGAAAACAATACTCTAATACAATTATTGTGACTTGTCGCCTAATTACCTCCAACAAGAGCACCAATTCTTGTACGTCCCCCGCATTCGCCAGACATGTACTTTATAGCATTGCAATTAGAAACTGCTGAATATAGCATTCAGAAAAAATGAGGAAAAGAGGAGTTAGTGAATCTATCCAATTACATGCAAGCTATAATATTCAATATCATCAGAGCAAAAGACTGTGCATTTAAGACATATTTCACATGTTAGCAGCAAATTCATATTCTACTGTTGTGACAGTCATTGGATAACATTCTGGCTTTCACTGCATCCAGGATTTTCACAGCTTAAATACAATGTCATACACTATAGGCGTGGAACTGATAAAATATGTAAATTTAAACTTTGCAGCAGGCTAGCGGGTTTCTTTTTCCATTCAGCAGAAAACTGTTCCTACCAGAATCATGCTAGTTTCAATGAATGCTATAGAAAAATGTCACCCTTTACGTTCTGTATATTTAAAGCTAAAATATTTACATAATCAGATCATTTCACGTTTACATAATGCATTTTCTTCCTGATAGGAAGATCATTCTAACAAATTTGTTTGACTAAATGAGATGTTAAATTCCAGCCATACTTTCTAAACCATTAATCTCTAGATTTTACGAGAATGAATTGTAATATCCCAATCTATCTGCAACATTTTTAGTGCATTCTACTTTTATGCATGCCTTAGCTTCCACCAGGGAGAAAAGTCAGACATCAGACAAGATATGTGATACAAAGCAGTATACTACTATATTGTGCCCAAGCATGGGAAAACTCCTTCAGTTTGCCAAGTAAACAACACTGTTCTTTATTGACCATGCAACTTCCTTCTTGCCTTTTTGAAGAGGGAACCTTTATAAAAGAGAGATGCATAGCATTTTGGACTATGAGGAAAATTAACTTAAAGAGAAGCACGAAGTTGAGCAATCGGTTCAATTCAATGACTCTCACACATAATTTTAATCATTGCTGTTGAAATTTGTGAAGTGTGGGGAATCTGTTATTGTGTTCTAGAATGTATAACTTGGAAATGAATGTTTAAACATTGTCCAACCAAGACCAAAGCTTTGCATGCAAGATATATACATTGCTAAAAGCTCCACTGTCGGTGTATTTGATAATTTCTCTATATACATTGCCGAAACTACACTGTCTAAGTAAGAAGCTATAAAGTTCAGGGACACGCTTAACTTTAAAACCGAATGAACAAGTTTACCGGCTAGTGAGGCTAAATTCATGGCAAACATTGTTCATTAGTAAACTTTACCTGCAAAAACTACTGCTTTAGATACAATTCAACCACTAAATAAGGAAAGCACAAACAAAAATCACTATAACTTCAAAACAAATTCCCCCTTTCCCACTTCGATGAAGCATCTTTCATTCAGTAGTACTAAAACTTGATAAGCTAAAGTGCTGAACATCAAATTCCATATGATTCCTATAAGAGATCAACTTGTAACTTCAATGCAGTTTAACATCCTCTGGCCCATTCTTTCAATATAGTTTAACTTTTAAAACTACCATTTCTAGATAGTACTCAAGAATCCCATAGTTTCCCTCCACAAGAATCTAAATTCCAAGTCAAAAAAAAAAAAAAAAAGCGACTAATCCAAACAAGTCATAAAAATGAGGCGTCACCCTGCCGAAGCCATAACCCAAAAACATCAACTTTCCCACTTCCCTCGGTCAAAGGTCAGCCATTATACCCACAAAAAACCAAACCTAAACAAAAATAAACGAAACAAAGAAAAAAAATAAATAAGTAGAACAAAAATATTGGCCCGGAAGAGTTGACTCACCTCTCCGGCAACCACCGCCATCTTTGAACCCATCTCCTTCAAACCCTTCCTTGCAGAGGCACGTAAACCCCACCGTACTGTTACTTCTCGTAACATTCCTACAATTAGCATTTTCATCACAATTACAGTCCCCTTTTATCCACCATTTCAAGTAAACTCGTCCCAGCTCCAAGGAAACCACTGAGTTCGTCGCCGAGTCAAATGTAATCCAAGTCGACGAAACCAAGAAACGGCACTGAGTATTATTAACTTCCTCGAAACTCAACAACTGCCCACCGTCAGCGCCAGCAAAACAACTTATATTATCACTCTTAGCAGTGCAATTTGTAAGTGCGAATGATCTTTCCATAAATATTGGCCTTATTTCACAAGGAGCTGGTAAGGGCTTCGAACAGTTTTGGAGCAGAAGACTATTAGAAGTCGAAGGCGCGTAGTTTTCACCGAACAGAACGGAGAGTGAAGCCAGCCGTCGGTTGCAGTTGGCGGGAAGGTCAATGATGATGTCTGTGGAAGTTATATTGAAAACATGGAATTCTCCAATTCTTACCCCTGTTGAGCTGCAGCTGAGTTGGATGGGCCGACCCGGTGAGAATCCGAATGGAAACGGCAAGGTTCTTGTGAAATTGCTGGTTGCACAGAAGCTGTGGTACTTGTTCTCTGAGTTAACTGATTTTGCTTGGGAGATAACAAAAAACAGCGTTATTGTTATTGAGAGGGATAATTTTGCTTGGTACGATATCATTTTGGATTCTCCAAGAAGAAAACAGAGCAATCATCAGCTTCCTGAAAAAACAGAGCTTGACTAAGAGAAACAGAGTAAAAAGTAAATATTGGGTACTTGAAAAAGGTTGAGAAAAGGGAGGAGTGATTGAGGGGAGTTAAAGCAGGACAATTCATGGCGTTGGAGAGGCCATTTAATCTCAATAAATGCTAATACAAAGAAATGTCAATGCACGGTGAATTGGGGAAATTTTTATAAAATTTCTTTCTTTTATGTGGCAAAAGAAAAAAGAGAAAATTTTGAATTAATGGGGTTGGTTTAGTTGAGTATATTTATGAGCTTACCTCTGAACTTCTTTTGTTCTTGTTGTTCTTCAACGGCTGCAGCAATGGGCTCTGTTTTTTTCCAAAGAACTGAGCTTCAAATCAGAAACTGTATCACTTTAACGCTTCGTTTGAAGTTCTTTGATTTCGGTCTTTGGTTTTCATATCAAATCAAACAAAAAAAACGAAAAAAAATGAGATTATTGAGAAGAGGAAATGAGAATTGAGAAAGAGAAAGTTTGGTACACAAAGTTGTTTACCTGAAACTCCATGCCAAGTAGAAGTATGGTACAGAATATTTTATTTATGTTGAAATGACTGATCTGTCCTTTATGTTCGGGAACATGGAGAACTGATTAGACGAAAATTTCCCTGAACAAGTGGTTAAATTACGGGAATGGGACCCAGGAATAATGTTGTGGTCAGCCTTCAATTAACAACGAATTAACATATAATTAGATAAATTAATCATAAATTTTGGTCAAATTCACGTGTAATTATATTCGAATTTATAACTTTAAGATTTTAAAATCTATTATTATTAATAAAATAAATTTTCATTGATTTGGAATTTAATTCTTTAAACAAAACAATATATTATAAATGATCTTTTGCTTTTTTTTGCTTGATAAAGGCTGCAAAACAATAATAAGCTTGAATAAATTATAATATGCATGTACAGTTGTTACCCGATATAACCCGTTATATTGTTAATATAAATTTTTAATTTCACAAACGAAATTAATAAATTAATATATATTTTATTTTTTTATTTTTTTTAAATATTTGTTAAAAGATATATTTTCTTTTAATTTAATTTGTATAATTTAAAAATTTTAATATCAATGTATTTAATAATATTTTTTCATATATATTTGTGGACATGCATATATGATTAGAAAGGGCATTTAAGTAAATGAAGCTAAACCACAAAAGAAGAATGATCCCAACTTGCAATAAAATATTTTCCCTGATAAAGCCTGAAGCTAAAATAATTTAATTGTTGCGCCTTGTTTTCTTGCCTTTTAAGACTTAACGAATGCAATGCTCAAAATCTATATTGGAGCTGACATAATCTGAAATATTAATAAATCAGTGACTTGCGGATTATAGTAAAAGGGTAATACTGACAATTTGCTGATCCTAAGTGCGGTCCTTTTCTCCTCGTAACACGCTGTGGTTTCTTTTATTGCCGTATAGAATCAGGTGACATAGGGATTGGACAATATTGCCCCATGCAGCCAAAATAGTTGACCTAGATAGTCCTTTGCTTGCAGTTCGTTGACTTTAATAATGAAAGGGACAATAATGTTATTTTTAATTTTCTTGACAGCTCCGCTGATTAGGGGGCTTCGTTGCGATGGCTGTAACACATGAGAAAGGGATAATCACAGCAGTGTCATGATGGAAATTAGATTTTACATTCATGCGTATGTACTGTAAAAAATATTAAAATTCATATATTTATATAATATTTTATATAAAAATTATGTGTTATAATTTATTTTAATATAAAAATATATAATATTTTTATTTTATTAAATTTATATATAATTATTATTAAAATTTTAAATTATATTATTTATATATTTTATTTTTATATCGTATTTATATTTATATTATTATATCATATTTTAAAATATTATATCTAATCCAAATACTCAAATAGTAGAAAGATGAAAGAAGTATTAATCTAAATTTAATTTTATGGTAAAGGTTTATTTAAATTTTAATAAAATATTGTTGAAATGTTTTCAAAATATAAAGATAGAATGAATATTAATTGATTAAATATGATATAAAAAAATTAGTAATTAATAAACTATATGATAATTTTGGAGAATTTTTAAATTAAGAAAATTGATTTAAGATATGAAAAATGGAATAAAAAATTTTTTAATATAGGCATTTGAATGTTAACACATGGAGATTAAAATTTTATATGAAAAATAACTTGATTTCAATTTTACATTATAACATCTCAATGCTCGACAAACGTTAGAATATCTGCATAAAAATGAGGTATATATTTGAATGCTCGATTATTAATATTCAAATTTTATACCTAAAAATGAGTTTTAAAAAAATATATAAAGAGGAATTTGAATGCCATCTTAGGACATACCATAGTATAAATTTCTAATGTCATTGTTGTAACTGTTAATTTCATTTCAATTTTTTTCATAAAGGGTTTTTTTGACTAATTGTAAAAATTGTAAATGACACCTATTGAATTTTAAAATATGCAAAATCAATAAAAAATAAATTCATTGAATCAGTCAACATAATTAAAATATTACAACTCTTGAATTACCTTTAAAATTAATATTTTAAAGTGTTTACAATGATATAATAAAGAGATTAACTTGTTAGTAGGTTTGAACAAGTCAAAGCTACTCATGAATTACCCTGATTTTGACTTGATTACTATTGTTCATTAGTAAGAGAATTTTAATACTTTGTTCAACTAATTCAAGAGACTATTCAACTTTTCTTTTTATTTTAAAATATTATAATACTCTAAAAAAACAAGAGTTTATATTGAATATATTGTTAGTGTTTAAATTTTATATACTGTTAATGAATTATATTATGACAACTCATTAATAAAGTGAATCTGATGATAATATTTTATTAATGAATAAATTATTTTAATTTATATAAATTTATTTTAAGAGTTGATATTTACTTATTAATGAATTGTTATCATATGATTCATTAATAATGTATAAAATTTATATATTAACAGTGTATTAAATAAAAACTCAAAAAAAAATTATACATAATCATAAACAAATCATATATATTATATTATAATATACATAAACACTTTATAAGATTTACTACATGAACGTGTATATATATAAATAACTCTTTTGAATAATACATAAGATAAATTTTCTAAAAAGTAAGATAATTTTTTTATTACATTTTTTTTTCAAATTAAAAAATATTTTAGTAAACCTCAAAATGCATAATACTTCATAATCGAGTGAGTATAATTTAATAATCTTTTTTTCCTTTAAAGAATAATCTTCATAATCAAAGTTTCTAAAAAAAATAATTTTTGAGGAAAAGTTGAAAGTATCAATTTTTTCTTAAAATAAAAAAAAAAGGATTTTTAAGGAAAAGTTGAAAGTATCAATTTTCTTTGAAAATCAAAGTTTCCAAAAAAAATAATTTTTGAGGAAAAGTTGAAAGTATCAATTTTTCTTAAAAAAAAAATTTCAAAAAAATATTTTTGAGGAAAAGTTGAAAGTATCAATTTTTCTTAAAAATAAATTTTCAAAAAAAAATTTTTAAGGAAAAGTTGAAAGTATTAATTTTTCTCGAGATTAAAGTTTCAAAAAATATTTTGGGAAAAAGTTGAAAGTATCAATTTTCTTCGAAATTAAAATTTTTAAAAAATATTTTGGGGAAAAGTTGAAAGTATCAATTTTTTCTGCACAAAAACAATCATTCTTTTCTTCCTTTTTATTTTTTTAATGTTAAATAATCTGATGATGGAGTCTCTGTAAGTGAAACAGTAGTTTTCTTGCATACTCCTGAGGTGAGGGAATTTTTTCAAATTTTTGCTAAAAGTATTAGAGTCAATTGAGAATAATTTTTAATAATTAATTATTTGGTAAAATTTTAAGACTTATTGGATAACATAAAATTATACTGGTACCATCTTTTGATGGGTGTTGTGAGGGTGCTATAACCTTCTCACACGTAATCGAACTCTCGAACCCTGTTCTGGTTAAAAGACCTGAACCTATTCTTTTAGGGACCCTTGAATTTAGGTGTTATCTGAAAGGACAGATTCTTTAGGTGGCCAATCGCACCTAGATAAAAAAAGATTGGTGGCGACTCCCTAAAAGTCAATGTCTAGCGATAGATCCTCGGATCTAGACGTTATGATAGCTTGGTGACTCCACTGGAGAATTTGAGAGTCAGGCCAGCAAATAATCTGTGTTATCCAAAAGCCTAATAAAATTGAACCTGTTTGTATATATGTGTTATTATTCATTCATGTTTATTTACCTTGTTAATTATGTCATTCATATGCATGTGCATAACATGAGCTCTACACCTGAGTTTCATCCCTCTAAGAGGGAGTAAAGTACCTATTGCTTTCGTGAAGTTTAATGACTCCGCAGTGGCTAGCGAAATACTCCCACTCAAATTGAACCTTTTCGCTTGTAGCATATAATGGGTGAGAATTAGGGTGTCTTACTAGTCTGTGATGGACAACGATGTAAGGAACAATTTGAGGACCTTTAGACTTTAACCCTAAAACCGCATATAGTAAACTTTAAGAGCACCTAACCTATAGATAGAGCCATCACTCTTTCCTTTTATAATTGACCAAAAGCATAAGATTCATCCCTTTTACTTTGTGTGATGTTTAAATTTACTTAGTTATTTATTCTTTTCTGGGTATACTAACCGTTTTTTTATTCTTTTGCATTGGTTCATACGCATATCATAAAGTTACATAAAGAACATTTGCTTGAAAAATGGTCTTCAACAAATTTTTTTTCATGGACGCCAATGAACGCTTAGTTTGTTCTTCATTAGTATTAGCACCTTGTGGGACACCCAATGAAGTAAGGGCCCAGTCAAAAAAGACTCAACTGAAGATGTGAGATTGCTTGCCAATTGGGTATGATTCTACTTTGTCTCAAGAAACATCTATCCTCCTCAAACAGAACAATTTAGAGGATTTGGTTGATATCTGAAAGAAAATGAGTTCGTCAAGACAAGAGCAGTTTTGTCAAAAACATGGGCATATAACACACCTTCTAGCAGTGGTTGTTGATGATCAACTAATCAGAGCTGCAACATAATTTTAGGATCCTGCATACAAGTGTTTAATCTTTAATGAAGCTAATATGACTCCCACCATCGAAGAATATTCAGTCTTGTTGGGTTTGCATCTCAAGACTCCTGACAAGATATATATAAAAAAATATAAGTTAGGATTTCGTAAAAGTTTGGCTCAACTCATGGGGATAGACAAAAAAATTGTAGATTCTCATACAAAGAAGAAACAAGAACAAGTTTGCCTACCTTGAAAGTTCTTTCATAAGTTTCTGATGTAACATGCCAATGAAGAACGGGGGTTAGACATATTTGCCTTGGCTATGTACAGATTGGTAATATTTCCAAAGGTTTTGGGACATATTGAGATAGCGATGGTTGATTTCTTCGAAAGTGTGATCAATGGCTGTAATCTTTCAATGGTAATATTATTAGAGAATATCAGA